GTGTGTGTGTGTGTGTGTGTGTGTGTGTGTGTGTGTCTGCTGTGTATTTCTTAAAAGCTACTTGGGACTACGTGGTGCCTTTTTCCAGTGGTAAAATGACGTTATGTTTTTACTAAAAAATACAAACAGTAATTACTTCTTAATGGCAAGTGGTTTGTAAGGTCCCTAAATAGCTTCATTGACTGTGACTCCCTATGTGACCTCTAATGGACCAAGTTGAAAGCCACAGAACATGTCACTATTTCTGTGTCTGTTTTTTGTTTCTGTTCATGTACAGAACTCCTCCTCCCTAGTATCACTGAAAACTCCTCAGTGTTTCATGTTCTGCTTATATGGACCTGGTCCAGATATGAAATAACTGTCAGACACTGGACATGCATTGGACACCATCACACAGATTTTCCACGTTAATTACATAAGTTGTTATTCTGATCCTTCTCCCACACTGTTGCCATAATTGCATCATTTAGTAACTGGTTTTGTCTTGCTTGTATTTTGGATGTACCGGACAGTCTCTTTAGAATCAGTACCAGTCATGAACTCAATGATGGTAGAACAGGCAAAACAATATCTTTCTAAAATCACCAGTAAGTATTAAAAAATGTGAAATTGCTATGCATTTGCATTGGGGTAATTGGTATTATGTCATTACAATGAACATGGCCAGTGCAATTTATTTATTTTTAACATAAAAAAGCCAAACAAAACATTTTTTTCAGTAAATTAACACATAAATACATACAGGCACAACATTGACACCAAAATCTAACACACAGAAAGTGAATAAAAAAGCAAAAAAAATAAATAAAGAAAACTCTGGACCATACAGATTAATTTAAGTGAGTGAAACACTTAAAAAGACATAAAACAGCTACGAGGTTCACATTATGAGAAAGTGAACAGAGATGGAATCAAATCATAACTCTGATGTGTAAATTCTAGTGTAAATGAGTAGGGCTGAACACGGCCCAAGATTATGTCAGTCAAATATGAATATTTGACAGTGTTTCTTTTTTCCCCCCGTGCAACAACAATTATGCCAACGGCAGATATGAAACAAAAGCCAAAGACTGTACCATATCAAGTTGCCGTAAGCTGTAAATTCATCACTTGTATACAGACGGCAGAAGATAACGTTATCTTGGAGCCTGACTGGGCAAAGCCTCTCTTCCTACAGGCAGCTGCCTCTGTGTCACTCAGATGCGCCATGGGCCTGAGTCTGCAGCTGCCTGTAACAAGGTGCTTTGCAATAATAACAATCAGTCTAAAAACACATACAGGACAGAAAACAGTACAAAATAGTGTAAAAAGTAACAATAAATATCATCAGTTAAGAAAAAGCCAAATGATACAAGTGAGTTTTTTTAGAAGAAATTTCAGAGGTCACTGAGTTCGTCTGCCTGAGATCCTTAGATAGGGAGTTCCGCAGTTGAGGGGCTTGGACAGCAAAAGCTTTGTCACCTTTAGTGACAAGTCTGTGATCAGACTCATAGGGAATTAATGAGCTTGACCATTCAAGGCTTTCAAAACAAGCACTAAAATCAATTCTAAAAGTCACAGGTAACCAGTGAAGGGTAGTGAAGATCGGTGTGATATCACTTCTCTTAGTATGAGTTAAAGGCTGGCAGCAGCGCTGTGTATGAGTCAATCTTTGGATGGCTCATCCGCTGATGCCTGAATAAAGTATGTTGTCGTAATCAGGTCTGGAGGAGATAAGAGCATGGATCACCTTTTCTAAATTTGCAAAGGAAAGAAATTAACTGATCTTTGTTTAATGTCTCAGTTGGGCAAAGCAGGACTGTACCACTTTAGTCACTTGGGCACCAAAAGACAGCAAACATAGTATTGTCTAATAGAATGCATTCACTTGATTTTTAATGAAGTGGATATTTTTAGCCTAAAATCTGGTCAAATGTTATTTTACCCAACCATTAGGACTCCAGTGGAAAAGGTCTTTCCTTCTGCCTTTGTGAACTACATTTATGCTTCTGTGTAAAAGCATGTTAAAAGTGAAAAGACTGAGTAAAAGCCATTTCACTGTGCACTTCCAGGAAACCTTGTTTATGAGGTGACCCTATGAAAAGCTTTACTGTGGGAGAATGCAGGGTTTCCTTGTTTAGTTTTTTAGGAATCAAAGGTTGGGTGAGATCTATGTAAATAATCACTGGTTGATGTCACCCAAAGAAATCAATACCTAGAGGTCACTTTTACAGAAGGTTAGCATTTAGATATAACAAGACCAGGACTGATTTATAAAATTGGGAATCTCCAGTCTGCCATACAGTATAATAATGGAAGCTGTGAAAGTCTTTTCCTGATTGTGAAAGGACTAGGACTGGAGTTTCAACACTCTTTGTTAACACACACACACAAAAAAAAACAGTTTGTTAAATTGTCAAATGGTTCAGATAATAAACACGTTTGGCATAAGTGATGAAATGCAGAAAAGTGGTTTAGGTTAATTGCATGGATTCTTATAGTTGCATGGTTCCAGTTCCATGTTTCGTTCTTGACTCCTTTGTGCTTTTGTCTACTAGGAAATCCAAGCCACTTGGTATGAGAAGCTCCATGAGTGGGAGGATGCCCTGGTATCATACGACAAGAAGATTGACATGAACAAAGAGGATCCAGAGCTCATCCTGGGCAGAATGCGCTGCTTAGAGGCCCTGGGAGAATGGTATGTCAGTAGTTATATTTGTTGTGAGTTCAGTAGGGCTGCAACATTTTGTTCAAGTCAGTGTTCCAGCCTTCAGGTCTCAGATTCATTGATATACATTTCTCTATATAAACACTTAGTGTCACCATTGATGTTTGCAGACTTTCTTCAGTTTATCATAAGTTAGTTTCTTTAACATACTGCCATGGGCTTTTAGTATAAATGTATTGTGTGAGTTGCAGAAGTGATAAAATCGAGAAGAAATTGGTTTCTTCAACCTTACCTCTATTGGATAATGACACTGTCTGAGGTAGTATACTTGCTGTGAGCTATTCCATCTCCTATTTTTTATTTGCGCGGGCAGCCTTCTCGTAACGAGTCATGACATTAGGCCTTTGATGACTGGGCGAAAGGAGAGAGAAAGGTTCCTCTGAGTAATTTTACCGGGAAAAGCATGAACAGGCATCCAACGGCAGTAATAGGCACCGCCACTCCAATGAAACCTCACCACAGCCGAGGCTCAACTCCATAACGGCCGCCCACTCTTCAAAGAGCACTTTTTTTTTAGGGAAAAAGAAAGTCACAAGTTGTCCAAGGGATCCAAATATGTGGATCGTCACAGAACTCATGACGCTAAGCAGATGTTAATTTGCTTATGTAACCTGCCTCCTTGTGCCATTGTTGTATACCCTGTGAGTCATTTCACAAGAAATGATTCAGTAATTTTACACGAAAGTGATTCAGCTGAAGAGAGGCTTTGTGTTTATGTTTGTGTGTGGATGGGTAAGACTGGGAGATGATATAACAGATGACCGGGCCATTAGTCAGAACAGATCAGACTTAAGAGAACACTTTGTTCCCTGTTGAGGTAAGGTAAGGGGATATATTGTAGTAGTGTTCTATGCGATAATGCATGATAATGTATTTGACAGTTGGACTCAAACATTATTTGAGTATTGGACAGTTATCAAGCAACCTCCAGTACAGAATGACCATCTTCAGTTTCGATGTTATTTAATCAAGGGTATTGACCAGAAATTAATGAATACCTAATTAAAAAGGACTTCAAATTAGCTGATTCATCACTGCTACAGTGGTGAGTCATTTTAGCGTTAATGTGTCAGTTTGAGGTAATAAACTACCCCCTATATTCTTACCTGTCCAGCATACTGTATGCAATGCAGTTCTGTTTGTTAGTCTCAAATTGTAGACCCCACTAATCTTTTTTTTTGTTAGCAGAGTTTGTCAGTGTTTGGAAATATTTTCATTATTTTGGGACATCCCCTTTGACACAAGTAATAAATAGCTGCTTTTATTTAATAAAAACAAAACAAAACAAACAAACATGTATATTTTCATAGTTATAGTTGACTGAATCCGCTTTTACGTCTGGAACCTCCCGTCTACACCGGGGCTGAGAGACACCCTTGTTGAGAACTTGGCTTAGATTCCAGAGTTATTCTCTTATCCTGAAGCCTTCTTAAGGAATCTAATCCCATTTAATCAGCAGTGGAAACCTCTTGCAACCGCATGCCTTTGCTGACATCAACTCCAGCAGGATTCAAACCCTGGACCTTCTGCATGGAAGACGAGTGTACTAGGGAGGCCCTTCATAGTTAGAGTTGACTAATGTATGTAAACTTGCCACCATAGGAACAGTTGTCACAGTCTTTTATAGTCCTTGTCGAGCAAGAGTGGCAATTCTCCATTGACCAATTGATGGAGTACAGTGTTTCTAGCTCCACCTTATAGTATCGGATGAGTGGGTCAGGTACCTCAGTAGTGAGGTGATGACGGAGTGCCAAGTAGCTCAGTAGGTAGAGTGGACCTCCCATGTCCAAAGGTAATATCGTTGCCACAGTGGTCACAGGTTTACTTCCAGTCTGCATCCACTTGCTGCATGTCATTGCTTTCTCCCCTTTCACAGTTAACACTGTCTCATCAAATAAAGGCAAAAAGCTGGAAATAAAAATCTTAAAAAAAAATAAAATAAAATCAAGGGGATGATTAAAAAAAATGGAATGGATGGTTCTGTTGCTACCATCCACAATTTTTGACGATGGAAAGTGAAAAACTACCGTTCTAATGTACAGTGAACTGAACTCAAATGAACCAGACTGCTTGGTGGAAACAAGGCTTTGGTTCTGTTATACTTCACATATCAATGGACTAATTACAGGAGCTGTTTTATATCTGACAAATGTTGCTATTTGGCACTCCAGTTCGAACATGCAGCTTTTTGGCATGTGGCGCCTTGGGGATGGAGGCCTGTGTGTCTGATAAAGCCACCTTTTGATACTCCTGCATAGCTTCTAATTACAGATGTGGCAATTGAAAAAAAAAAAAAGATTTTGCCACACAGCTGATCTGTTAACAACTATTAAGCATGAAAAGCAATGTTACTAAAATAAGAGCATTTCAGGGTTGAATTTGGAAAAGGCTTTTTTTTTTTTTTTTTTTTTTTTTTTTTTTTTGGGTATCATCTACATGAGTAGATTTTGGCAAGAATTTGCTTTCCAGTGTTTAAGTTGGGTAGAGATATGTTGGGAATTACGTGATATCACCAAAAGTCATATTCTAACAAAAGCAGGGAAGGTGTAATAGACCTTTTACACATCAGACATTTTGGCGTATCACAGCAGGTAAGTACAGGTAGTCACTTTTAATGTTTTGAATTACAGCAATCTAAAAAAAAAAAAATACATTCCATTGAGGTGAGCTAGTTCCAGGGTCCTGGTCTTGTGCATGCTGGCTCAGTGTCCTTGCTTACGGAATCACTCAGTGAAGCTGAGTTTGTTACCATGCACCATGGAAACGGTCAATTTGTCCTGTCCAAACAGGTACAAGGAAACTTAAAAGAGAGATGTCAATCGAGCACAGTTGGCACATGATCCCACAGTCCTAAGAAGAAGTCTTATCAGGCACAAGTGAAAACCCCTGTGTCAGTGGACCAACAGTTTGTAGTGTAGGGCCTTTTAAAAGACTCTTTACATTAAATAAACATGTCCTTTTGAGATTTATTTTAGCAACTTTTCAATTGAAATTCCGAAGATGTGAATAATGGTCTGCTGAGTCAAATTATAAATTGAGCTCTTCCTTCGGCTGGACCATCTTTGTTTGTCAGCTGTAGACACATACGCCCAATGTACCAGAGCTTTTTGTACTTGTTGCTTTCATGTTATACAATAGCCAGGCAGCTGGAGAATGGCTTCACTTCACTGACCCCCATCCAAACTGGCCTCTCTCTTTTTCTCTGTCTGTGCCTCCCACTTTCTCTCCTTCATCTTAGCTCACTCCAGCATCCTGCCTGTAAAACACATGCGGTGGGTTTGATCTCCTCCTGGACAATGCCGCACTGATTGTTGTTAATGAGAAATTAGTCTTGGTTAGATGCACCTGACCCCGACAGGGAACATCCATCTGTTTGCTGGAATACTTGATTTTATCATACTGCTTTGGGACGGTACACTGATTTAAGATGTTCATCTTTAAGAACAAATGAAGAAATAAATGATTGCAGATGTAAATGAAACCAAGTCTTATCATCTTATCATCTTGGCAGGAAGTTCTTGGCCATTCTGGTGAAGGGCTTTTTCATTTGTTGTTTGGCGCAGGAAAAGTGAATTAAGTGTCTTAACATGTATGTATTATCATTCGGACTTGGAGCTTAGAAGAGCCTCTTTTGTTTTTCCAAGGATAAAGATCAGACCTATACAATGCAGCGTCACTTTAGACAAGTTGTAAATGCTTTTGTTTTTGCAGTTTTACTGCAGTTGTCAAATTCATGTCAGTCAGAGTGAGTGCTTCATCCTCATCATGTTTTGCAGAAGAATTCTACCATTTAGTGTATGTCTGTTCTATATTTAGCTGTAATTTTTCCACACAGGTCTCAGACACCATGTGATATATATCAGTTTAGATGGCATTGCACAATGATGGAGCATTATTCTAGGTTGCTGAGAATACTTTCTTGCACTGCTTGATCGAGTGTCTTGTAGGCCTGTCAAGATAATTACATTATTAGCTTATTGTACAATATATGGACGTGATTGCAATATTATTACCTACATATTGCCCGTTGTGTTTACATATGTATTTGTTTACATAAGATGCCAACAACATTTGAGCCAACATGATACCGGAATTAACACTTGGGCGCAGAGACTCTCCCCTTTTTTTTTCTCTCTTCACCCCTGCTTACTTGCACAAGTCCAAAGAAAATAAAACAACACTTCAAAGATGACACAGTGTAGCTTACCATTAGCTCTGAGCTGCACTTTTGCAGTAGAAGAGACACGATCCTGATAAATATTGCTTGCCAAACCCTGGCAACAAGGTAAAAAGCCAGTTATTTGTAGTTTTACCCTCCAAAAACTTAATCCTCCGCTCTGTACATCTACCAGCAAGCTGCCCTGCTCACAGGCCGTCCATCCAAGGGAGCCAACTGCAGCACACTGGCTGTATTATGGAGGTGACTAAGGTGTTCCTGGAGCTTCGCTAAGCTTGTCTGTTAGTCGCAAGAGGCATTACTTGGTTTATTTTTTGTTGACCAAATTTTGTATCAACTCTCAAACTGAAGAATTTTGGGCTACGTCAATTAAGGTACTATAATTTTATATATACTTTTTTGTACATATTAGAAGGTGTTAATTACTTTTTAAAAATAAGTTAAATATTTTATGTTACTTTATTATGTTATCATTATATCATTGGCATTAAACAGTCTCAAAATTACAATATCATTTATTGCAATTATATCTGGGACAATATATCATCCAACAAAAGCAGTTATTGTGACAGGCCTACATGTAGCCATACTGCAGTCTATACAGTAATACTCTTGACTAAATACCTGATAGGGCCAAATAGACCAAATAAGGGACCTGATGACAGCTCAGATCAGTTTCTGATTAACTGATGTCATTGCCTTGAACATGGGACTCAACAAATCTGCATCTGCTTTTTCTGTAATCTGAAGCCTGTGGTTAATGTTTTCTAGGGGCCAGTTGCACCAGCAGTGCTGTGAGGAGTGGACGCTGGTGAGCGAGGAAACCCAAGCCAAGATGGCTCGTATGGCTGCTGCTGCCGCCTGGGGTCTAGGTAACTAGCCACTCAGAGTCTTCATGTCAGATATTAACGAGCAATGAAAAATATTTGGAAGAAAAGGTCAACAATGAACTATATAGTAGCAGTCAGCTGAGTTTTAAGAGAAAAGTTGTGCATGGAGCATTTAGGCTATCCCCTGCCTGACTCAGAGCAACAATGCAATCAGACCAAGCAGCAATGAAAACACTAACAGCTCTTGCCAAACCCCCCCTCACATAACCAGATGGGAATGGTATCCAGTCAAAACATTGACATATCGTAACGTGCAATGGTGGAGAAAAGCAGGGGCCACACTGTAGAAGCATCCTCTGAGGTTTGTGGTCTGTGGCTTTGACTGTATTAAGTCAATCGTAAACCCTGAGATGAAACCTAAACAGCAGGCTCTTCTATCTGAAGACTCAGACCTTCTTTTATTGTTGTTGTTGTTGTTGGGAAGCAAAATGTTGAGGTTGCAGTCACTGATATTTTAACAAGATGAGATGGAGTGAAGTTCAAAACAGCAGCGATTGACTTCCAAACTTGAATCTGCCTCATTCTTGCCAAGTTATGTCTCAAAACATCCACTAATAACCTGTTTTTGTGCTTTCTTGTAACTAATTTGTCCAGGGCACTGGGACAGCATGGAGGAGTACACGTGTATGATCCCAAGAGACACACATGATGGTGCCTTTTATAGAGCAGTGCTAGCTCTGCATCAGGACCTCTTCTCATTGGCTCAGCAGGTGGGTTACATCACCACTCACAAATACATCCCAGTGGATAAGATTTTCTCCCATTTAATGTACCTTAAAAGTCTATATTTTTAGAAAACATCTCCTAAAGACATGCTACATGGGAATTTGCCAAGCCTTGTGGTTTCTGGAATTTCCATTAGTCTGTATAGCAAGGTATGAAAAGTCAAAATCATTGGAAAGCAACACTGTAGAGAAACATAAAAATTGCCTTACGGCTTTTCCAGACAGGATCATATTTCCCCATCAGCTCAGGCTTTTCATTAAAAGGAGTCAGATGCACAAGGTTTTTTTTTTCTTTTTTTCCTTTTACAATGTGGTACTTCCTTGGTGTGGAAATGTTACATAACTCTTGAAATAGTAAATCATCACAGCATTTAGCCTCAAACAAATACAGAGCCCGTTTCCCCTCCTGTCTGCCTGTCAACAAGGTCCAGTGGAGGTCAGGGAGGTGTTTTCCTCATTTTATAAAGGTTGGGAGTGTTAGGTGAGCTCATGCTCCCCGAAGATGAATTAGTTCGAGCTGGATGCCAGCACATCTAAAGAACACAAGCTCCAACACCAACACTGGTAAACACCTGCTTCTCCAATTTCTCTGGACTCATCCTCCAAGTCCCCTTTTCACCACAAAGCCCGGGAGACCTGGTCTCTGTGCCCCCCTCATCCATCCACAGCCACCCTCCCTCCTCTAATTTGGAGATTAGATCCAGGTGTGGCCTATAGGATTTTAAATCAGCTGAAGAGGGAAAGCAGACTTTTGACTTTTGGAGACAGTGGGGCCAGTCACAATGAATGAGGAGGAATGAAAAGCAGATGGAGCGAGGGTGAAAGCTTAAATGTCAACATGAGCTCAGTCTAGTCTTCCGGATGTGGTTGGTAATCCTTGCGCTTAAATCCTTTTGATTCCATAGGGCTGTTCCTTTCCTCCTGCTATACCCCCAACAACCAGACATGTGCTCCAGGAGCTGCGGCGTGCAACTTTGTGAAGGGTTTCAGGTTACTTTGCTGTATACATCTCAGTGTTTGGTCTGTTCCAGCAATGATGTATAGACACAGCAGTCATGCTCCCTGCAGTAAAGCAGTCTGCAACATTAATGATGTAGTTTCCTCTAGCGGTTGATTTGGCCCTTAACATTCACATAGAGGCCCTCATATCACACTGTAGTGATAAAGTAATCTCACTGGACTTAACCCATTGTAAGTACCAGTGTGCAACCTTTATATAAGAGACTGGGTCACGGTTTGTTTGTGCTGCCAGTAGTCAGACACTGCATTTATCAGGAGTCGTCTGGACTGCACATTTTCAATGAGGCCCCAGTGCAGTAATTCAGGAGTAAACAGGACCATAACCGAGTGGAGGCTGTAAAGAAGCAGCCTCATTGTCACCTCGTCCCAACCACCCTCCCATAACCCCTCCTCTTGTTGTGCATGCCTGAAGAGGTGTTTAGGCACGCCATTCCTCCTTTCCCTCCCCGCAAAAAAATAATTGGTGGGAGTCAGTCTGAAACAGCTGTGTGTCCTGGCCTCAGAGAACTTCCTCAGTCATCCTCCCTCATTTTACCTTCCCACTAATAACAGTTCCCAAAAACATTGGCTGTAGAGGCCCGAGAAATCATCACGTTTTCAGCCACAGTACTTGTGTCCTTGTTTGTCCCTTTTGCTGCTCTGGATCAGGTCTGTCTCACAGTTAAGGTTTTTCCACCCCTCAGGGTTCTCACTGGTGATGGAATGTCTGCAGTATCGTTAAATTTGGAGAACTGCAGTCCTGTTACGAAAAGTCAGGGAACTGGAAGTTAACAAATGAGTCAGTATTATTCAGTAATATACCCAAAAAACAGGAAGGTAGGAAAACATTCTTAGGGCATGAATGTTCTCGGACAGTTGGTTCTCAGTTGTTGGTTGGTCACGAAAACATTTGGGAATGTGCATCATGGTGGGAACCGTCCGTGACTAACAACCCTTGTTTGAATTCTTCTTTATCACTCTCCAATTCCTCTCCCTTTTTCTGAATGTGCATGCAAATTTGGGCTGTTTTTTATGCCTCCATGCTGGTGACAGCTGTGGCCAGAGGCAGCATGTTTTCAGGTTGTCTTTCTGTCTGTTCCATTCTTATAAATGCGACATCTTAAAAACACCCTGAGGGGATTTCCTCAAGTTTGGCACTAACGTCCACTTGGACTCAAAGATGATTCGATTTTGAGTGTCAAAGGCCAAGGTGACTGTGAACTTGTGTCCATCTCACTCTAGTGAACATAATATCTGAGAAACACTTAAAGGGATTTTCACTAAATTTTGGCAAAAACATCCACTTGGACTGATGAACTGATCATAATTTGGTGGTCCAAAGTCACTGTGACCTCACAAAACATGTTGTTAGCTGTAGCTCAAGAATTCATTGATGACAAAATTTCATACAAGTGTCTAATAGGATAAAATGATGAAGTGATGACATTTTATATCTAAAAGGTCAAAGGTCAACTTTACTGTGACATTATAACTTTCTGCAAAAACATATTTCTGGCCATTATTCAGCGCCATAACTCAGGAACAAGAAGGAGGGACATTTGGTCAGACACTGAATTGATCCATATTTGAAACATTGTCTGCTGTCATGGCTACATATCAGACTGGACAGACATGGATGTAAACTGTAACTTGACTACTTGTTGGAGACATACAACCACAAGACGGTTATTTCAAGTTTTTTTTTTTTTTTAGATAGATTTGATATCCACAACCATGGTTACATAATTTTCACACTGTGCTCTCAACAGTTCATTTCCCTCTCCTCATAAAACACTTGGCACTCAGCAGTGCATCAAATTATTTTGCTATACAAGCAAGCGTTCTAGTCCTAGTTGCACTAATGTGCCACCGTTGGCTGCACTTAAGTGAAAAGGGTGTGAGCAGCAAGCAATAACATGCTTCCCTTCATTTGTACAAAGTGTTATTATTCCCTGGATTTAGTCCATTCCCAGCTGGTCCTGATACAAGAAGTTTTAAGGACGGTGTGACATTGTGTCATGGTACATTCTTGGGTCATGTTAGCCTTGTGTGTTTGAGGATATGCCATTATTGCTTTTTGTGAGCTTTACCGAAGAATCATGTGGAGGAAACAAATTGAATTATGGATTAAACCTGTGCTCCTCATGTCGAGCATTAACTGCGACTTCAGAAGCTAACAATGTCACAATTCAGACAGATATGATTTCATTAAAAGATCAAACTGTAAATGTTTTTTTTCCATGTAGTGTATTGACAAAGCAAGAGACCTCTTGGATGCTGAGCTGACGGCCATGGCTGGAGAGAGCTACAGTCGAGCCTACGGGGTGAGTGTTCCACTAAATCTGCCAAAATATTCAACACCTGGCATAAGTCGACCGTATTATTCTTCATTGCATTCATGTGCAGGGAGATTATGCTATGGCAAGAAAATTTTAGTCAAGTGATGATTTCTCAAAGTTTAATTGTCTGATCTAGCTTCTTTTGAAGTCAAAAGCATAAATATTTAGTTCCTCCACTGCACAATGCTTAATGTATGTGGAATTATCCAAGCAACATATCAAGTCAAAGTTCAAATCCAAAACAGCAGTATTCCTCTCATACAGATATTGTCAGGTAACATTATCGTGAAATCCATTTGATCCTAGTTGATTTTGATGTACATACCGTAGCTGTTCAACATGAACAGCAGACACACTTCAGCAGGCCTCAAGACTCTGGATGTTGTTACAAATGGCAGCTGTAAACAAAGCCATCAAGTAAAAATGACTAGCCTTTTCTGACAGATGCCACACAAGAAGGTCCAGTGGATGGCTGAAATTCATCCAATACTGTAGATTCTGATCCAAGAGTAGCTAAACCATAGAGTTTTGGCTGAAGTGCGTCTTCCCTGGAAATTAAAAAAATACCTCTAGAACATGAAGAAAGTAGCAACCTGGGTAGGGCTGGGAGGGTGGGCTAAGACATACCCAGTCACTCCTCTCTGCTGTGGAGAGGAAGAGGGGAGGAGGCAGGCCCCCAGGAGAGCCGCTGAGCCTTGCAGCAAATTTTTCCCGGGGGCCCAAAAAGCATTTACCCATAGACCACCACTGTAAAAGACATGTCTGTAAAATTGCTGACAGGACACCTTGAACTGCAAACAAAGTCAGTTATGAGTCTTTCTATTCAGAATTTCTGATCTATGGTGGTTTCATGTCTGTAAAAATGTCAAGCCAGGAAAAGCAATTTAAAAATCTGCGATGTCATCACAATGTGTAGTCTGTGAGCCAAGCGGGAACTCATGGGCGGACCAGCAGGAGAAACATTACTTTGGTGTGGGTAAACTCGGAAACTAAAAAACATTTTTGGCGCATGTGCCGGGTGAGAAACTCCATTGGAATGAAAAGGCACCATCTTGGCATCCGGTATCTAGTTATTATTAAAATCCATGGGAGGAGGGTGGGTTGTTTGTTGATGAAAGCTGCCACCATATACGTCACTTGCCACCAGATCAGCTAATAGCAAAATTATATTGCAGTTGCTGGGTTTCAACCAGTAGAGGGCAATGGCTATGCATATTTTTGTAGTAACACATTATGTAGAATTCAAATACTTCGCACTAAAATGTCAAGACTCTGACCTGAATCCATCTGCAGCACTACTACTGTAAATACCCATTTACATTGTTTTTCAGCTGAAAAAGGTGGTGGTGGGGGTTTAGTTACTCTTCAGTGGTCCATTTTTTATTGCACAGAAGGGGCTTTTGCAACTACAAAAATAATAATAGTGTTTTAAGAATGAATGTGGTTGTGTTTGTTTCCCAGGCCATGGTGTCTTGCCAGATGCTGTCGGAGCTAGAGGAGGTGATCCAGTACAAGTTGGTGCCAGAGAGGAGGGACATCATCAGGGAAACATGGTGGGAGAGGCTTCAGGTAACTTCAGCACATGATATATGGACACACACACACACACTCACGTGTGTGACTACAAATGTAAAGCAGATGTTGGAAAGGCTACTGTTACTAATGGGAAACATTACATGCCAGACACCAAACATACACACACACTACCTTAGTGAGTAAGGATTCACCAACTTGCACATTTCTTTCTTTGTTTTTACATTTGAAAATAAATTTAAAATACATCTGTAGAAGTAGAATCATGGTGGGCTCTGCTAAGTGTTATTTACAGTATACGGACAAACAAACTAGCTACAATCTGTCCAAATTAGTTTATCTGTAATTGAGTCACAACCTTGCAGCTACGTCTACTGTAACTACAAAAATTACTCGATAATTGATTAGTTCATTGATGGAAAATTAATCAGCAATTCATTTGAATGATTCAGATCAGATTTAGATAAAGTTTGTACTGGCCGGTGGGCGGTGCTTGGTTTCCCCCTTGACTGTTTTCAACATGACGGACAGGTCACAAACTTTTTTCTTTTACGGCTAAACAGTACACTAAAATATGTTTTTGAAAACATTTGAGGAGAGAAATAGGCAATGCAGTTCGAGAATCTTGATTCACATTTGGTCAGTGCTGCCTAGTTTGACAGTTTGACTGCAGTTCACAAGCAGTGACTGACATGATTGACAGCTATGTTAGAGACTCCTCAGCTGTGATTGGTTGCTTTCGTTCACGTTCAGTCTTAGCATTACAAGTAATAAGAGGAGGCAGAGGAACATGATTTTTTTATGCCTCTGCGCTGGTGATAGCCATGGCCGGAGGCATCATGTTTTCAGGTTGTCCCTCCATCCATCCCACTCAAGGGAATTTCTTCAAAATTGGCAAAAACATCTTCTTTGAATCAGTGATGAATTGATTAGAATTTGGTGGTCATAGGTCAAAGGTCAAGGTCACTGTAACCTTAGTCTGAGTGGGTAGAAGTTCGCTGCAAAGATCAGCCTCTCATTGGGCGGAACAAGCCACCCGCTGAAGTCCCGCCCTACCACCTCGGGTTGCAGTTTTCAACACATCCCTTACTAACTTTTGCGGTGTTTGATCTTGCGGGGATGTAGCCATTTTTCTGCCATGGTTTGTGTCCTGTAGGCGATATTTTTGTGGGCGTGTTACACCAAAACCTGTTTCCCCCTGGCAATATTTTTGCAAGGGCACCGTTGCTTTGGCACCGCCAAGAACGATTGTGATTGGTTGAAAGAAATACAAGCAGCCGGGGCGTTTTTTTTCTCCAATCTTAAAGTGAGAGTCAGCCCAGCCAGACCTTTCTTTTCTTGAGAAAGTTCTGGTGAGCGAGACTACTGTAACCTTGTCTGTCTTATTCTTGTGAACACAATATCTCAAGAACACTGTAACGGTTCATGTACAGCTGTGTGGATATGGTGACTGTTTAGGCAAACATGAACTGACCTTCGTCAAAACACCTACACAAGAAAATGAGATCACATTTGATTGAATGGTGCATGAAATGTGCCTTTGAAAAATGTTCTGAAAAGAAAGCATGGCTCGTTTTGTGTAACCCACACTGTAACCCCATCCAAACTCTTCCTACTTCCCGTGGCTGATTATGATTACTATTATTATCATTATTAATTGTGAATTACAGTGTTGTACATGCTGTTAAATGAGACAGCAGGACGTGTGGAGGAACCACAAATCCATAGGCGGTTGGGGAAAAATATGCTGCCTGCCAAGTCTTTGGAATTTGAGACAAATGCCATCTGATCTAAGATAATAATGTTCAAATTCATCTTTTCCATGTCTGCCTTTTTGCAGCTGAATCAAAATGTGATTATTTGAAAGGCCTTAGCCTTGTATGTGCATGTTGAGGGAACAGTTTAAGTCAGGCGGATAAACTGATAAGCCATTCACCATTCCTGATACCATGGCATCCAAGCTTCTTGGTTTAATACAGCATTTATAATGCCCTGTAGCCCCTGTTGGCATTCCTGTCCCTCATCTTCTGCTTAGATGTTACTGACGTCTCGGAAAATCCCTAAAATCTGCGTCATCCTTTACCTTAACTACAGCCCGGAAAAATGTATTTGTCTGTAGACTGCATGTTCCTGTTCAGAGGGCTCCAGCATACTTTTTTTTTTTTTTAAATCAAATTTGCTATATTCAAGTCTCAAAACAGCACTAAGTGTAAATGCCAGAACGCATCCAGGGGACTATAATCACAAGGTTACATTGATCAAGGTAATGCAGGAAATAATCCAAAACACAGACAGCACTTGTTTTGACTGTATGAAAAATGACAGTTTATGATACAGGAGTAAGACAGTTCTTTTAAATTGGTTCATTTGTACAGCATCAACAAAACAAAAAAACAAAACAGAAATCAGATGACCAATCAGAGAGATTTCTCTCTCTCTTTTTTTTAGCAACATATGAGGAGCATATATGTGGATGTGAATTGATGCCAGTCAAATTGATGATCTTCAAAAATTAGTGACTTTGCATCATTTTATACTAGCAGTTCATTACATTAAAATATAATTAGCCGCAAAATAATACATTTAAGGGTGACAAATAAGAAATGTTTTGCAAAAATTGTGCAAGTATTTGAAGTGCATTGTTTTGGGCTTTGGATAAAAGTCTGACATTAATCACCACCAAGAACTTGTCAGAAAAAAAAATCCAAACTATTTGTTTTTTTTTTCCCGGTTTCTATATAATTTACTTGACCATTGAATGGAAACAGTTATGCACACACACAAAATCCCTGTGCAGTAAAATGAAGATAGTTTTGATCGTCTTGACTTTTTCCATTCATAACAGATGGCGGTTGGTTGGAGGAGGTATTTAGGATCAAGAGGGGTTTTCCTGAGCAAACAGACACGGCCCATTATGGCACCAGAGCTGGTCTGCAGTGCCTGACAGGTTTCTTCTCTCTATGGTGATTTATTGAAGGCTGACCTCACATCTGTCAAAGAGTCATCGTCCTGCTCTTTTGCTCTTTTTTGCTTTCTTTCTTTTGTTTCTTTCTGCCTTTCTTTACTGGTCTATCCCTCATCAAAGGATTAGGGTTATGACAAAGTGCATATGAAACACTGCAACCCACTGCTTGTGGGTAAATGTGTCAGAGTGAGTTCTTGTTCTTCTACCCCTGTGAGAACCTGTTTGAATTTCGGATTCTTAGCCGTAGGTTGGTATTCAAAACTACTGATGTTCTTTTGTTCCCTGCTCTTTCTGGTGTCTCAGTTTCCACTTGTAAAAGTCATGAGACATTTTAACCTATTTTACCTTTAAGGGTATCGACTGAATTACATTGGTGCTACCAATTCACAGTACCATATCACAATAATCAATCTGTGTCAAATTTCAGTACCTTAAAGGGATAGTGCAACCAAAAAATGAAAATTCAGCCATTATCTACTCACCCATATGCCAATGGAGGCTCAGGTGAAGTTTGAGAGTCCTCACATCCCTTGCAGAGATCGGCGGGGGCAGCGGCTAGCACACCTAATGGCAGACAACGCCCCAGACTAACGTCCAAGAACACAAAATTGAATCCACAAAGTATCTCCAACATGCTCATCCGTAGTGATCCAAGTGTGCTGCAGCCCCGACATAAAAAGTTATTTCGAAAAACGTCATTTGAACTCTGTTTTTAGCCTCACTGTAGCCTGTAGCTCTGACTGCTTCTCTGTGCTCTGCGCTCACTAGGGCTGTCAACGAATATTCTAAATTCGAATTTAAATTTGAATTTGAAAAAAAAATTGACCTTCGAATGTGAAAATTGATATTCGATTGTGGAGGGGGGAAAAAAAAAAAAACACCACCGCAGCTGTCCTCTTTGCGAGTGGGCGTTGGCCTGGGCTGCTGCACTGAACGCACTGCATAAGGCCACACCGCCCGCGGAGGTGCTGCGAAGCGCAGCGCACGAGCCGGAGCATTTCCGTTCACATCAGACGCACATTTCTCCACGCTGGTCGACAAGCGGTTTTGCTCCCAGCTGTTGTCTCCGTCACCTGGCTTGAGACATTCGCTCACGCAGAAAAAAGACCAGAGCCTGCCACAGAGCTGCGCGGCGCGGCGCAGCCGGTGTGGATGACACAATCGGTTAACATGGGCGCCGAAAGGAAACTGGCTTCGCTTCGAGGCTATTCGCAGCGCTTCCGCGAGCGGTGTGGCCTGACGGGTCAGAGAGGGGGGGCGAGCGAGAGGTCCGCGGTCGTAATGTAACGTAATGTTATAGATAATTGTTTTATGTGTTTTAATGTGTAGGTATGTAAATGTTTTCAAAGACGTTTATGTTGAAATAAAAATACCTACAAGCAGGCTAGTTATGTTTCCTTGTATTAATACATACACAAGTATGTTTCCTTGTATTAGTTTGCCCTCTTGTGGACATAATGCGAAAAAAAAAAAATTCGAATGGTTCGAACCTATGAGTTATTTTTAGAAGGAATATTCGAATGCCATTTTTGAGCAATTTTGACAGCCCTAGCGCTCACGTGTGCACGCTTGCGCGAGACCAGCGAAAGCATCAGCCTTGCTCACCCGTGTTTACATCACGTGACACGTGCGCCGCAGGGGGAGACAGCAGTGACCACAGTAGCTAAAAGATAATTTGCACTACGGTCTTTTAGCAAAGGACAGCCCAACATGTCTGAAGACTTTGAAATTGAGGAGGAACAGCATTTCTTTGTTGAGCCGTATTTGTTTGAGCCCGAGTATACGGACGCGGAACTCAGGCTACTGGACGAAGCAGCCGCCGCAGCTCATGAGCCTAACCCTCAGCCAGCCGCAGAATACCGGAGTCGAGCACTGGAAACCTGGTGGTGTAGTTGTTTCAAATGCAAAGCAATGCCAACGGATGAGGAAAGTCTTTGCTGCTCAGACTGGTAATTGGCGATGCCTGCACTTGATAATCTGGACATCAGTACTGACGAGACTGCTGCTGTTCAGAGATCACCGATCACCCTGAGCACGCACATGTGAGCGCGGAGCACAGAGAAGCAGTCAGAGCTACAGGCTACAGTGAGGCTAAAAACAGAGTTCATATGACGTTTTAGAAACAACTTTTTATGTCGGGGCTGCAGCACACTTGGATCACTACAGATGAGCAGTATGGAGATACTTTGTGGATTCCATTTTGTGTTCTTGGACGTTAGTCTGGGGCGCCGTCTACCATTAGGTGTGCTAGCCGCTCCCCTCGCCGATCTCTGCAAGGGATGTGAGGACTCTAAAACTTCACCAGGGCCTCCATCGGCATATGGGTGAGTAGATAATGGCTGAATTTTCATTTTTGGGTGCACTATCCCTTTAAAGCGCACCTGGGTGAGCCAGTATGCTGCCATCCCATAGCTGCTTAGTAGCGGCTGGCCAAGGAGCTCCATCAGCTTCCCAGCGAGCCGAAACTGTTATTGCAGCACCGATAGTTTCAGCATCTTGTCTATTTTCTTTTATTTTGGAAATAGCCTAGTATCATTCTTGTTTGTAATTGTGTTTTTTAAATTACGTACTTATTCCACATATTTGTTAGTTGTGACTTAGCTCTTTTTTGTGATGAGAAAATAGCAAAATTGCTTGTTGACTGCAGCTTGCTCAAAAAGTACATTTTTGTTATTACAGAACGAGTAAAGTACCAAAAAAAATTAATTAAGTGAATTAGCATACTAAATTTGAGGTAGCACTACCGGTACTGGTATCAATTAAAATGTAAATGGTACCCAACCCTACTAATGTTCCCTGTGCTCCTCTACACACACGTTAAAACAATTTACCTTGCACTTTTATTGGGCCTATTCCAAAGGTTATCCCATTCTCCAGCCCCTTTGACAATGACATAGGACGGTGGGTTTGATATTAGACTCACCAATGATATACAGTACAGTGTTTTTTGTTTGTTTTTTTTGCTTGTTTTTATTTTTGCCCTTATTCAATAGTATACATTTAAAAGGCAGATGGCAAATGTGGGGAGAGGGAGGGATTACATGCAGCAGTGGTTCATGGCCAGTTCAAACCGGGGATGTTGTGGCTACATGGTACACGTCCTAGATCACCTGTCCACCATGACGGCCCCAATGATAAACAGCTTTTCTTTTCAATCAAGTTGCTTGAACTGGAGAATTTGGCACTTCCTTACAGCTTCAGCAGAATGATGTCAGTAATCTCTTGCCGTTAAGCCCAGACTAAACTGTTTTAGTCACTGTAATCACTGAACATAGCTTCTGCCAGATTCTACCTGCTCTCAGCCTCTTATCCCATCATGTTAAGCCTACTTCAGAAACTGTAATATTTAATTCCAGCCTCAGCTTTCAACATCTTATTAAAAAGCTTGTCCCGACATACTTTTGCCATCTAAGGAATACAACAAAAAAAGTTTCAGATAAGGTTAGCACTTAATGAAAAGAACCTAAACTATGAAGTAAGTAAATGACCACGTTAGACACAAAGACGGGTTGTATTATCTTTGAAACTATTCAAAGGAAAAAAATCATCAAAGCACTCATTTCAAGACCTCATTTGTTGTTGCTTGTAGCCATGCAGCTGACAGTAATATGACCCTTCCTTGTGGCAGGGTTTGTAATTATAATCAAGTTACATCAGAGTCCTTTTGCATGAAATGTTTATATTATTCTGTCTACTCTCTGTAGATTTGTCTTAAATTCAAATCATACCAAGAGGATTATACAGCACAAGCTTTTTGTTCATCACAGCTGGATTACTCCACTGTTGTGTCTGTGTTGCCTGCCCCCGCAGCAATTGTGTTATATCCCAATGATGAGGTCGAGGTTGGGGTTGAGAAAATATTTAATACAGAAAGTCAGCTTATGGTACTTAAAAATATATGAATACAGACCTGTGTTTGTGGGGGTTTTCTGGCACGTGAACCCAAACTCACGTGTGGACATGTTTAAGACAGAGACCTCTGGTAATAATTGTAGCCCCCCTGGGCTTCAACTGTGCCCCTTTCTCACGTGTGTTCATTCTTTTGAGTTTAACAAGTACGCTCCTATCTTTGAAGAGAGTAACAAAAGGGTAATGCATTTAACCCATCTGTCCCTTGTGGTTTTTGTGTGTTTTGCTTTTAGGGTTGTCAACGTATCGTAGAGGACTGGCAAAGGATCCTGATGGTCAGATCACTTGTCATCAGCCCCCATGAAGACATGAGGACTTGGTTGAAGTACGCCAGCCTCTGTGGCAAGAGTGGACGCCTGGTCAGTACATTTAGATATTCTTACAAAGCTCCTCAGTATTCTGTGATCTGCCCCCTGATCATGCATAATTAATTATAATCTCATAACATCCAGGAGGAATAAATCAGAGTTGATTAAATCGGTCTTGTCAAATGGAAAAAGGAAGTCGAGCTCTAAGTGCAACCATGAACTTCAGCCATGAAATTCAACTTCATTTCAACCTGTTTAAAGTTGGCGCTGATGAAAGTAACACAGTACCCTCAATCACACTGTTTAGAAACCTGAGCCTGCATATATGCACAATTAAAGTGGTGCAATTTTCCATCCTTTACCTCACTGTTGTTCCAATTGATTGCAAGGCATGGCAGACAATGGGCCAGTTTTTCTTTCTACACAGTCTTGTTGCATTTAAGCACACACACACACACGGAACGCCAGAATCCCCAACTATGATGTAAGTTAAAAAAACGAGATGTGATTGGCCAACGTCAAACATGGCAGGAAATGTGATTACAAGAGGCTGGAAAAAATGACCCCACTAAGACTTTCTGTCTCTCTTTGTCTTAAAAATTGTCTTTGTTCACACAATCCTAAGTACTTATGCACTGTACTATGTGGGATTTTTTACTCTCTATAAAAGAACAAATTTTAATCAAACCTTATTAAGATAAAAGTTGAAGTTGTATTGTCTTGGGGTCCCTAAAAACCTTATGGGTTTTGTAAAACCTGGCGATTCAACTGCTCCTTTTTCCTCTCTTGCTACCTTCACCCCTCCAGGCACTGGCTCATAAGACCCTGGTGCTCCTTTTGGGTGTCGACCCCTCAAAGCAACTTGATCACCCGCTGCCCACAGCCCACCCGCATGTCACCTACGCTTATATGAAATACATGTGGAAGAGCGCCCGCAAGGTATGAACAAACAAACATGTTGTGTTGAGTGAATGGTTTGTAAATAATATATTGTGCATTTTTGTCTGATGCTTTTCTGTAAGTCATATAGTATGTACGTGTTCATACATCAACATGTGTCATCATATGATGTCATCATATGTGTCAAAAGTACATGAAGTACTTTCCCAGGATAAATAGCAAACAGCAACATCTCAGCTTTTAAAGAGTTCTGATAGTTGTTAGTTTAATATACGCAACATGAGGCAACCATCAGAGTTTCAGATATGCCATATAGGGAGGGTTTAAATTACCGGAACATTAGTGACATAAACAGTTAATTAATTTAACATTGTGAGGGGAAACAGCCTGAGAAACATTAACACTGACAAACTACATCTGTAAAAGGAACATTGAAATTGCAAACAGCTTAGCGACAGTATAGTCAAGTTTAATTAATCAGTCCCACCAGAATCTTTAAGAGGGTTCTTGTTAATATTAAAAATGACTGAGGCTGGAAAAAATGTGACTGTCAAAGAATTCACGGGTAATTATAATATATATTTAAATATTCAAATATTCCCCCAATGTGTTGATAAAAAATGTAAATGATTTAAAAAAACAAAACGATATACTACGATAGGCAATTCTGCATAGCTGTCAGAAATAATTATTAGCAAATGTCATCATAAACATAAGTAAACTTCTAGTTCTAGTGTTACTGTGTACTGTTGCCGTACCCCAGCAGACTTCTATGGGTAGTTTATTTTATAACTTTAAAATGTTATATAAAGTTGAAAACTAGAATGTAATAAGAGCGTTGCATAGAAATATCACTATCAACTGTAAAATTAGAATGAAAATGTTATTAATAGTTATGACCTTGCAATGTTAGGCTCAATTCCTGTCAGAATGTTAGCTACCTAGCGTACATTCTGTGCATTTGCGAACAGCCCTTAATTACAAGCGTATTCCACTTGCTAGCTTTAAGTAAAGTTGGGATCTGTTAATGTTTCCATCAGTTGTTCATGGGAAACTTATTAGCATAACTAGCTATCAGTTATTTAATAAAGTACACCTTTGCTGTTCAAATATGAACAAATATGAGCAGCATGCAATAGTTAACCAAATAATCTCGTATCGTCTGTTGTGGACTCAGTGGAAGACAGAAAAAGTGAGGCAAGCTGGAGAAAGGGCAGGCACAAGTGACTTGAAGGAGGTGAGTGAGAATAGTGTGATTTTAGTGTGATAGAATTCAATGGAGTAAACGTCTATCATTGCTCTTTTGGCCTCCTTGTATAGATCACTAGACACACAGTCACCGACAATCTCATATTTGCTCCAGATGATTCAGGGAAGGATGGAAGTTGAAGACAGTGCAGGCACAGTTGACATTAAGGAGGCGAGTGAGAAAAGACACCTTTGTTTACTTGGCAATATATTGTCTACATCTATGTTAAAAAGACCAAATGGTTTGGGGATCTGTATGGGTCTCAGTTTCCTGATCTCAAGGTGGACAAGGCCCGGACCCTTCTCAGTGGTGGGAAATGCAATGGTCATCACATTCCATTGGTCAATGTGTAAATGCAAGTTAAAACGAAAGCTTAGGAGCACTTTAAATCTGGAATATAGGGATTCTCCTTATCTTTTAAGTAGTATTGTGCTTTGACTAAGGTATGTTTTCATAGATAAAATTTTAAAAATGAAAATTGAAACACATACACAAACCTTAATTGTTTTTTGTTTTACCTTGATCTAGAAGCATGTGAGTAAGCCTTAAAATGCTGAACATTTGAAATACTGACTGCAACTTTTGAACATCCAAACAGCATGTGAATGTAGGGGCAGTCAGGCAGAAATCAGTCACTTTCTGACCTCGCCCCTTTCGATTTGAACGCATTTTTTCCTATATGTTGACCTTTATGTGAGAGTGTTTGAACATGGTTTGATTAACCACAATGACCAACCATTCAGGAGACAGGGGCCTCAAGAGTTGACCCATATTGGACAATCACCCCGTCCTAAAGACACATCTGTGTTCTTCAAAAATAAACATTAACGGTCTGGCTTTTCACCACAATTTCAAGACTTTTCGTGCAAAATAAATATGCAAATTAGGTTAATATAACAAGAATGCACAAGCTCCAATTTTTTCATTGTTTAATTTGCTATTGGGTAGACACTTGTTCATATAACCTGAGGTTTTTGCATTGTGCCCATTGTTAGTTGAGCAACAGCAGACTTCTTAGTATATGGTTGGAATGTCAGTCTCACCTATGAATCCGTAATGTTGCCTATGATTTTCTGTTTCACATCAGATACTCCTTTTTCCATCTATGATCAGAACAGTTTTACCTTTCATGTATCGTTACTTCAAATTTAGTCATCTGGGATTCAGAATTCTTTGAAATGGTCAGTTTGACTGTTAAGTTTCTGAAAATTTCCACCCCCATGTTAATGGATAATTACAGCTCTTCAGGTAACCATACAATAGCCATAATAGTTCCGGGAAGAAAAATAAAACAGTGCTGTAGGCTCTTTTGTGATGACTGTAACCATAAATAACAGCATATGTTTATTTAAAAAAATATTGTGACAAAAATGAAACCTATTTTAAAATAATCAGTTTTTTATTTGTATAGCTATGAAAGTATTTGTATGTAAAGCATGTTCACAAATATTGCAGTATGGTTGATTTGCATTCATTATTTTGAATTCTGTAGGGACTTATGAATAAAGCTCAGTCTTCAGTAATGTCTTAGAGGTTTGATTCTCCTCTTATATAAGCCTGAGCTGATCAGTTAAACCAGTTCAACTGTAACATTTAGATTAATGTTTTTATTAATCTTTCATATCCATGGCAACAGTGGATGAGTAAGCTGCACTGTGGCTGAGCATCCAGCACAAGAACACCCGCCAGACTTCCACCTACCAGCAGTGGTGGCCTGATGTTGCACTTTAGGTTTTAAAGAACATTTCACCAGAGCAGCCTGGGATTGAACTTCTCTGCCTTGTCTACCATGTCTACACACACACACACACACACACACACACACACACTATATACACCCCCAAACACACATAAACACACCCACATTTATTGCCAGGTGTTGAATAGTGTTTGTGGCTCTAGAGCGCAGGTCTCATTAAGGGACTTAGGTAAGTGTGAGTGTAAGCATTGCTGTTGCTATGGCCAGCTGCACTGCTCGCCAGACAAATCAATAAAAACACACACAGCTGCAAAGGCCGCAACCACTGTTCACTCAGCACACTTGCCATGAGTTAGGTGCTACTGAGTGCATAAGTGGGTCATCTATCAGGGATAATGGATTAGAAGTAAAGACAAGACTTGAAATTTAGAGCCTGAACAGGTACTGAACACATATATAATTTTAAGGTTTATCATATATTTGAATATTACATGAAAAAGATACAAAATGCCAGCCATAGCAAGTATGCCATCTGGATTTCTTCTCAAGCTGACAGTATATTTGTCCCCATTTTCTTAAATGTGGATGATGTGCATGATTAGGCGAGTAGTCAGTTAAATATTTGTACTTGCTAGTCAACACAAGAAATAGTAGTTGGTTAAACTTTGTATCAAGGTACCCAGAGGAAGATGAGAAAAGTTTGGAACAGCATGCAGGAAACCAGGTTCTGATTATCAACGCCTCTCCCCCTTCCTCTGTCTCTCTGTTTTTCTTTTACACACATTCATGCACACATGTGCGCTCTCAGGCTCACACACACTCGCACTGGCTTGTTGGGTGCACAGAAGCTCCTCAGAAGCTTGTTTCACATGCATGCACAGTTATGCATGAGAGTTACCGTGTAAGAGTGGGTGTGTGTGACAGTGTGTGCTTGAATGGAGATGAGTTGGGACGTTAGATGCATGGTAAATTAACGCTGCTTGTTAGGATAATTTGCAAAGTGACAGATGTTTCTTCGGCTTTTAAAATGGGATTTGGTCAATGAAAAATGTATGAACAATCTCAGATGCTTCTTGTAATATGCATAATATTTTTCGGACAATGTTTAACCACATAGATTGAATTGTGCTCAATTTTGACTGTGTTCTGAATGTTTTCTTACTTTTAGACGCTTCAACTAGTCTAAGTTTAAACTTTGGTTTGAACATCAGGGAAGTTAGTTGTTAGAAACATCACTATTGTGGACACCATCCCAAATCTGTGCAAGCTGCATGGCTTGTCATACAGGCTGCTTCTACAGTGTTAAGTTAAGACAACACCATGTAACAGTTGTCCTAAATGTAATGTATGTTCATGTAAAAAAAAAACATGACAACAGAGTATTTTCCCTGGTGAGCCAATGGTGAGTCCAGCAACATTGATATGAACAGAAGCGAATGTCCATTGTTCTAAGTAAGTAAGTAAGATAATAAAAGTAAATAACATGTAGTTGTGCCACTTCTTATCAGGCAGATATTGTACTTATGTGTAGTAACTGTGCTAGTCAAATCAGTGCTTGTATTCAATTCAAACTGATTCAATGACACATAGTCTTTACTTGCCACTGGTATTTGCTTTCTTATCTCTCCAGATTGATGCCTTCCAGCACATGCAGCATTTTGTGCAGGGGATGCAGCAGCAAGCCCAGCACGCCATCGCAGCTGAAGACCAACAGCATAAGCAGGAGCTCCACAAACTGATGGCCAGGTCTGCCCTTTTCCAAAAGCACAGTAGCAGCAGCTCACCATCTAATGAGCCTTTTTCACAGAAAACCTTTTCACATGTCACAGAAGAAAATGCACAAGTGTAAATGATAAAATGAACGATTGCTGAACTCCATTTTGTTGCATTGGTTTCAAGGTCCTGGTATTGTGCATGCTGGCTCACTGTCACAGCATACTGGGACACATGAATAGAACACAGCCGTTAAAGTTATTAGGAGCACCTGTGCTTTTCTTTCTCTGACAAGTCAAACTGTCTGCTATGAAAAAGACCTGTGGTGGATATCAAATGTCTACATACCCAGACATTTTCAGTTTTAATACAGAAATTCAGATTTAAGTCCAGACATTTTTTACTGTCATGAGATTAAAATAACTTGCAAAACAAGAGTAAACATAAAATTGAAGAACAAATGATATTCTAGTATAATCAACTGTCATCTCATGCCTTTATTTCTGATCTCCATCAAAGATTCACTCCAAAATTGATAAACACTATATTCAGTAGACTGGTAGGGAGAGAGATGATTTACCCAATTTGAAATCTTAATGCTTTAAGTTTTACATTACTTCAAAGTAATTTGGACATAACAGTATAGTGTATATATATGTGTATATATATATATATATATTCAAATATAATCTTTACACTATAGCTATAAACTCTGTTGCCTTAAAGTAAAAATAAATTTGAGAACAGGAATAAAGTAAGTGTATGTAGACAAATTATGGAGAAACATCTCTTAGGAGTGTTGGTTTGTGAGAATTGAACAGTGCTCAGCAACTGCTGCTTTCAACTTCAAAGAGACTACGTTTACACTTGGTTTCAAAATGCATCTTAGGCAAATGGATCACAAGTGGACAGTGCTAACTTAACTTAAACTAGGTGTAAAAAAACATTTTAGTTAACTAAAATAAAAAACAGAAAACTAACTGAACTGATATTTAGGGATGCACCGAATATTCGGTAACCGAATATATTCGGCCAAGTATTGCAAAAAAACACACATTCGGTATTCGGTGGAATAAGTGAAAAGCAAGGCCGAATAATAGCGGCGTGTTTTGATAACGCAATCAAACAGCGCTTGGTGACGGACGGAGTAAAATGTCGGCAGTGTGGTGATATTTTACTCCATCCGTCACTGCACTCGCATTTGCGGCTAAAAATAGTTTTGTGCGAGCAAAATAAATCATTCAGCACGCTGTGCAAGTACAGATGCCAACCAGCAGCAGCAATACGGCAGCCATAGTGCTCCTTGGCTTTCCGGCGACGGAGAATTCCGGCTCCAATAATGTCCTCTTCTTGGCGTCATGACTGCCCAAAAGTACCTGAACAGCCGAGCCGTGGCGGCACACAGGTATGTGGCGTGTCAGAGAAGAAACGAGCCGTTCACATTACTCTTTGTGGGAGGTAACGGCCCACAAACCTCACCGCACTTTAGGGACTGTTCTTTACTTATGAAGGGACTGTTCTTTACTTGTCAGGGGAGGAGGGTGGCTGGTTGATTTTTATTTTATTTATTTCTTTTATTTTGATCCCCCCTATGTTAATCACTTATAGATGCTGTTTTTGAAGTATGAATAAGTCAATAAGTAATTTATTCCATTGAAATATCATTGATGTATTATAGAAAAGTGATTTATCTTTTTATAAATGACAAAAGGCACATCTTCCTCATTTTTGCTGTGGTATCGTGATACTACTCAGAACCGTGATACTTTCACTGATATCGTGCCTTGGGTCCCAATTTTGGTACCATGACAACACTAATCTGGGGGGGGTTCATCTGCAAAAACTAATGAAAAACTAAATGGTATTCTGTATTCAGCCAAGCGTTTAATTTTATTCGGCTTTGGCCACAAATTTTCATTTCGGTGCATCCCTACTGATATTGTGTACTTACAACATAAAACATAAAATATAAATATGCAGGAAATGTCTTTAGTTTTAGGTTTTGGTCAAATTTGTCAACACAACAAGCATGAGGAGGCATTGGTGTGTATGTTTATTGAGACTGAGATGTCTACATGACTATAAGTTAATTGCCTTTACAAAGTGTTGTGTTTGTTTGTTTATAATACCTGTATGATTCTGAAATCTTGACCCTTACAAATATGCCCCATATTACTAATATTGAAACAAATAAAAACTAAACACTTAAAAAAGAATAAAAACAAAGCTGAAACAAGCAAGCCCTCTCCATGAACTGACTGAAACTAAACTGAATTGATAACAAAAATTAAAATTGAAATAGAAATTAAAACTAATGAAAAATCAAAACTGTAATAACTCCAGTGTGAACAGGTATACGTCTCAGCTGTCCACTTGTGTTTGGTGCTCAGAAAAGCATTTTACAACAATGTGTAAACAGGGTCTTAGAAATGTGACCAGTGACAGGAAGGTGTTAATAGTTACATGACAATACAGAAAGCAGTTTGAGTTCCCATTACAGAAGGGCATGTGGAGGGGAGCAGAATTTAATGTTGTAACTTAAATGTTGATGCTTTAAATGTAAAGCCTTTTTATTACTTGTAACCATTAATCAAGCTAAGAAGTTGTTAGGCCTTACCATTATAGATTAAAAACTGTGAGTGTTTTAAAAGGAACTGCCATATATATATCACTAGTGAAGTTCCTGAGGGAAAGTCAATTTCACACAAAGTGATGCCAATGTGTTATTATGCACTTAGTCGTGGTTCACTCATATTAAATCTCAGAAGTACCTCTGTGCCAGCCTCTGTACACTCACTGCAGCACAATGGAGAAAACACAAGGCAACATGTTAAAGCAAGGAAAAAGTAACCTCATGTATTCCCTCGTGTTGTAAACACACACAGGGTCGCGTACAGTGCGTTCTGCCTCTTTTCCATGAGCATGACCCAATCTGGCATAGCACCTTTTTATTAGTCTGTTGGCGTCCTATGGTCTTTTTCAAAGCTGGCCAGATTCTCTCAATGTCACACCTCAAACTTCTCAATAAAATGATTCCTTTTGGCACTTTGTCCCACACAGCTACTTATCACAAACCAAACAAGGCGCAGTGCCTACAGGTATTACAGACCAGGTGTGTCTCCTCCGCAGAGCTGCTGGTTTGCGCCTACACCTCTCCTACCAAGTGTTGTGTCTTCAGAAGCCTGGCACAGCCTTGGCACCTTTCCACTGTCATCACCTCACCTCACTGTGGAATGAGATGCAGTTTTCAATCTGTTTCAAGCAGTTGTCAGCACAACACCATTTTTTTTTCTTCAAAACTTGACATTCAAATAACTATCATGTGTTTTCAGACGCGAACTTAGGGAATTAGATAATGGAAACTTTAGTATTCCCAAAAATAGCTGGGAATGACTTCAAAGTCTTAAAGAAGTTGTTTGCATGCTCTTGTGGCCTCATGAAAATATTTGAGGATATCTAAAGCTGTCCCATTTAGGTTTGAATGTTAGCTGCTTGCCCGTGCAGGAGACAGAATGATTACTTTTTCAGTTTGACTGCACACATTGTGTGTCCTGTTGGTCAGACAACTCAAAACAAGCAAGAGGTGCGACCTGGAACCAGATGGGTCTTCTCCTATGTACAGTAAATCATACAGTAGTATCATCTGGCCTTGTGCACAAACACACACTAATCATGTGCCCCCTCCCATCTCATAAATCATTCATGACAACACACAAGTGTGACAACAGGCAGAAGGGGCTTTTTTACACTTTTGTATCTTCCAGACAGCGATTCTGTCTGTTGGAGGAATGCATGTTGGGGAAAACACCTGTATAATGTCAGTCAGGACGGGTCTTCTCCAGACGTGCTGACACACTTTCATGAATACAGGTCGACTGCATGGTATGGAGCACACCTGGACTGCTCTGTCAGACACTCACATCCACACAGTCACATGGATACCTCCACTCTCTCCCCAAAGAACTCAGTGTAATTTCACTGCTTTAAATCGTTAACCTTGGTGTCTCCTTTTTAGATCAACATGTTGTTCCAATGTCCCCAAACATCCCATCTTCCCCCTAATTTTTTCCCAAAAGTTGAACCTGTTAACAGTTTACAGAAACTGTTTGGCATAGATGTGCTGAACCCTAACTGTACGCTCACATGGAAAAGCACTCAGAAGAAATTGCGTAATCCCAAAAGACAATTTACTGGAGGTGCTCTGCAAACAGTATTCAAGCTGTTTTGGTGGATGGGTTGATAAAACAGAGCTTGCCAGTTGCTCAGTTTAGTGTAGTTGTATGTGAATTATATGTCTTGGCCCCACCAAACACAACTAGTTTGACTATTTGCCTGCAAGCATGTGTTTTTGTGAGGGTGATGGACAGAGTTAAGTCCTCCTTAGGGATGCCATAGAGTTCACGTCGGCTTAAATTAAAAGAAAAATGGTTCGGATAATTGAAAATCTCCGGATGTGATCCCAGAACCTTTCAGCGGATAAATGCACTGCTGCTTTCAGTAGTGATACTTTGATAAGTGCCTACATGATATCCAAGTCATGTATCATTATCTCACTGCTTTTTTAATTGACTGCCCTTGGAATGTACTGAATGTCACTGCCAACTCTCTATAAGCAATGACAACATAAGCGTGGTTATAAATTCATGGTGATATTTCTGTGTCACTTTTGCTTTTACTTCCTTGTTGCTAATGCTGTCATGTAGTCACTGAATTAGTTGTTACTGCAGAGCTTTTGCAGTTTTCACAACAACTTCTGACCTTTGTAACTGTAATGGACTCAAAAATAGTTGAGATGTTTATTGTGCCTCCACGCCGGGAACAGGCATGGCTAGCAGCATTACTTTTTCAGGTTGTCTGTTCGTCCCTCCCATTGTCTTGAATGTGATATCTCAAGAATGCCTCGAGACTTTCCTCAAATTTGGTACAAACAACCAATTGGTCTCAAGAAAGAACTGAGTCGATTTTGGTGGTCAAAGGTCAAGATCACTGTGACCTCGTCTGTCCCATTCTTGTGAAGGTCCATTCGTGGAAACGACCACTCGGACTCAACGATAAACTGATTAGATTTTGGTGGTCAAAGGTCAAGTTCACTGTGACCTCGCTTCCATCTCATTCTCATGACACAATCTCTCAAGAAGTCCTTCAGGGAGTTCCATCAAATTTGGCATAAACATCCACTTCAACTCAACAATGAACTGATTAGAATTTGCCGGTCAAAGGTCAAAGTCACTATGATCACAAAACAAGTTTTTGGCCATAACTCAAGAATTAATTCGCTAACTATGACAAAATTTCACACAAATATCTAATAGTTTAAAATGTTTGTAAGGTCAGTGTTTTGTGGCCATTATCCAGTGCCATAACTCAGGAACAGAAGGGGGAACATTTGGTCAGATACTGGATTGGTGACACTAATCGTAGGTGTCCATCCTGAAACTGTTATTGTTATTGTATAGATTGTCATTGCTCCCAGGTGTATGAAGCCTGCATGTTCAAGAATTTGTAGCTTCTTTTAAGCAACATCAGTATTTGAAGCATTTTAAACTGTCATGGCTACATCTGAGTCTGGATAAATATGGATGTAAACTATAACTCGACTGGTTGATGGAGGCATTACACTGTGAGGTGGGAATTCTAGTTGCAATGACTTATTTGCCTCTGCAGTGTTAACAACATTGCCCTCTGACCTCAGTAACTATTATGGTCTCAAATTAGTTTTGGTGTTTTTTCTTTTGAATGCCAGAAAATGTCAGTAAGTGTGATTATTATATATAAAGTTTTATTTATAAAACTTGTCCTAGGAGCTTCATTGTTATGATGCAGTTTTGTGAATGTTGGTGGAGACGACAGAATTAATCAAAGTCAAACAAGGCAAATAATTTAACTTACACCAGGTTGGGCATGTTTTCCTTAAATAAAAAATAAATGTAAAATAATATTTTGATGGGAAGAAAAGCAAACAAATAAAATGTCCCCCCTCTGACTTTCTGTCTGTCCCTTTTCTCTATGTAGATGTTTCTTGAAGCTTGGGGAGTGGCAGCTCAGTCTGCAGGGCATCAACGAGAGCACCATTCCCAAGGTTCTGCAGTATTACAGCCATTCCACTGAGCATGACCGCAACTGGTACAAGGTCAGTATTTGCCTTTTAACTCTAACCTTTCACTTTTGACTTTTCTCTGGCCGCAGTAAAATCCCAGCTGTGTCAGCAGGAGGTGGCTCTGACACTGATGTGTCACCAGGAAAAACTTTAGAACCCAATTTATTGCTCTTTAACCAAACATGTCGTAACATTGTTTAGATTTTGGTTTTGTCCGTGCACTGCTCATCTATTTGCTCATCAGATTGTTGTACTTGTGGTGCCTTTTGTGATGCAAAGATATGAGGTGATGGAAGAGCTGAGAACAGTTTCATCTTTTCTTGTCCATGCCCATGCTGCGGGCTACAAAGATGTCACTAACAAAACCCACATACCCCTCTCCCCATCCATCTTCACCAACTCCAACTCATATGTTTGGATCAGAAAGATATCCGCCCCTCAGTAAACTGGAAAATTACATCATGAACCGCAGCAGTTACCACTTCTGAGAAATGCAGTTTCACTCAGTTTGTACAATCTCTCTGCAGGCTTGGCATGCCTGGGCAGTGATGAACTTTGAGGCGGTGCTGCACTACAAACATCAAAACCAAGGACGAGACGAGAAGAAGAAGCTGCGACACGCTAGTGGTGCCAGTGCTAACAGTGAAGCCAGTAACAGCGACAGCGAGGTTGACAGCACCGACCACAGTCCCGTGCCCTCACCAGGCCAGAAAAAGGTCAATGAGGTGAGAGTCATGGAAAATTAAGTCCTCTTCACACCCATCATGTCAGTCATTTAGAGTTCTCCTCTCTCAGCAGTCCTAGTTTTACCAATGTTGAAATAATTCTTCAAAAAGACCCTGCAAAATTAATTTCAGTTTTACTCAGTTTTTGCTATGGCCAGTAATGATGACATTATGAATTTTGAACTCTAAATTATAGCGACTGTCCAGACCTTGCCATCCCCACATATGGTTGACACCAACACTATAGTCTGATCTCCAAAATAGCTTTTATTCTTGCTTGAAGAAGTATCTGATGTTTGCTGTCCTTCACAGGACCTCTCGAAGACATTGCTCCTGTACACAGTCCCTGCTGTTCAAGGTTTCTTCCGTTCCATCTCCCTGTCCAGAGGCAATAACCTGCAGGACACTCTCAGGTGAGTTAAAGGACTTTAACACACTGTAGTCATAGCAAACAAGAAGCACCCATATTTATGGTGTGAAAAGGAGGACCTCTAGTGGCCATTATCCTTAATAGTTAGGCAAGAAAAGATCCAGATTTAATGATTGTCTCCTGTTTTTGTACTGTTTAGGGTTCTGACTCTGTGGTTTGACTATGGTCATTGGCCTGAAGTGAATGAAGCCCTGGTGGAGGGTATCAAGACCATTCAAATAGACACCTGGCTACAGGTAAAACATGCATACACACAAGGAATTAGCCTAGAGATGAAGAAGTGTGTTAAATGAATCCCTATGCAAGTGAGGGGGGTTTTAGTTGGGCAAAATGGCAACACTGGCTTCTTCTTGATGTTTAACTTAAATTAATAATAAAAGAAACAAACATATTGGCAGTTCTTGCTGATTTAAGCACTTTTGTCAATGCTATGTTTTGAGTTTTTAGTCAGTATCTCTCTGCCTGTGCAGGTGATCCCTCAGCTCATAGCTCGAATTGACACTCCCCGAGCTCTGGTGGGTCGCCTCATCCACCAGCTGCTAACAGACATTGGGCGGTATCATCCCCAAGTAAGTCTGCTCACACTGCTGCTAATGCTGTTTCACAGGAGAATTAAGAACACATTTCCTGTGTTAACTTAAAGCAGTACGATCAGTGATTGTTGGATTGTTCTCTCTTCGCTTACAGGCTTTGATCTACCCACTGACTGTGGCCTCCAAGTCCACCACCACGGCCCGCCACAATGCTGCTAACAAGATCCTGAAGAACATGTGTGAACACTGCAACACTCTGGTTCAGCAGGCCATCATGGTACAGAGACTTAATCATTTCTATTTGTCATCCCTCAATAAAATTATCTTCTTTTAATTAGAAAGTGATACAGGTTTGTTCTTGAGGGTTAGATGGAAACATCTGTCTGTTTTTAATTTGCCTCCTCTCTATATAATATGAATCAGACCACCTAGAATATTTTTATGCCTCTGCATATGTGACAGTTGTGACCGGAGGGATTAGGATTTTGTGTAGACCATCTGTCCCATTCTTGTGAACACAATATTTCAGGAATACCCTGAGGGAATTTCTTTAAATTTGGCACAAACATCCTCTTGGACTCCAGGATGAACTGGTTAGATGTTGGTGGTCAAAGGTTAAGGTCACTATGATCTCGCAAAACAGGTTTTTAGTCATAACTCAAAAATTAATATGCTACTTAGGAATGAACTTTATGTAAATATCCAATAAGATAAAATGATGAAATGACAAAGGTCAAATTTAGTGTGACATCATAGTGTTCTGCGAAAACTTTTCTGGCCAATATTAAACACCATGACCCAGGAACAGTCTGGGAGACAGTTGGTCAGAAACAGAATTTGTGACACTATCTTGGGTGTCCACCTTGTAACTGGGTTGATTGTATAGCTCTTCTCTGCTGCTGGGTTGAAGATGCATGTGAATCATCCATGTCTTGTCAGAAGATACACTTAATACTTTTTGTTCAATTCTTTTAAGACTTCACTACATATATTTAACGAGTCAGACATAGACCCTCGAGGCATAGACCGGGCAGTGATTCTAGTTTTTACCTGTCGTGATATAAATTATCAGCTTCATAAGAAGCACTTTTCCTTTTCTCCTTATCTTTCTGTCTCATATTCAAGTTTAGTCTTTGGTCCCATAAAAAAAGGAAAGTTGCAGCATTAGAAATGTGCATCAGTCTGAATCAAAAAATCTCAGCTTCTTCCTCTGCCACTACTATATACTTCTGCACTAAACTGATCAGCCAAAACATGAAAACCATTGGCGAGTGAAGAAAATAACATTGATCATTTTGTTACAATGCAATGTTCTGCGGGGAAACCTTTGGTCCTGGCATTTATGTGGATGCCATTTGACTTGCTCCATTCACGCAAACACCTTTGCAGACCTAGTACACCCCCTCATGGCAACAGCACTACCCAGTGGTACTGATCCCTCCGGTAGGACAGTGCACTGTGCCACACTGCAAAAACTGCTCAGAAATGGCCGAGAAACAGGACAAAGAGCTCAAGCCTTCAACCTGGCCTCCAATTCCCCAGATCCTAATCTGATCGAGCATCTGTGGGACCCCAGAGGTGCCCCCAATCCACAGTGGGGCCTCCTTGTATTGGAATTGGCTCTGACCTGTCAAGGTATGGACACAGAACCTCTGGAGTGGGTGTCCAGTGGTGTCAGGAACAAGGGTGTTGGTGGCGGACCCTTTGAGTCCTGTGGGTTGTGAGGTCATCCTACGTCATCCTAATCCTACGAATGCCTGAACAGATTAGGACCTGGGGAATTTAAGGGCCAGGTCGATGCCTTGAGCTCGTTGTCGTGTTCCTTGGGCCATTTTTGAACAGTTTAAGAAGTGTGGCATGGTGCAGTGCCCTGCTGGGGAATCAATGTCATCGGGGGTGCTGTTGCCATGAGGGGAGCTACAGCCTAAACAGTGTTTGGGAGGGTGGAGCACGTCAGTTGGCATCCACATGATTGCCAGGACCCAAGGTTTACCTGCAGAACATTGCAATGTAACTAGATGATCAATGTTAATCATTTCACTCACCAGTGGTTTTAATATTTTGGATCATCAGTGTACTGTACTGCAAAAATCTCCATGAAAAATAGGTTGCTGTTGCAAAGCAGGTGTGCATGCTTGGCAAGTTCTTCTCTGGATTGCAGTGATGTGATGTCTACTGTAGAGGAATTAGTTTCTCCTTAAGAGGCTTAAAATAGTTTTTTCTCCTCCTTTTTTCTTTTTAAATGTAAATGTCACATTTCTTATCTAAAAAAATAATCTAAATTGTAGATAGAATCCATGAAAAGCAGATGCCTGATATCTTACACCTCTGAGTTTTTAGGGGAAGTATCAGAGAACAGTCTGACTTTTTTTTTATTTATGTATGTCTTTATCCAGGTGAGTGAGGAGCTTATCCGTGTGGCCATCTTGTGGCACGAGATGTGGCATGAGGGCCTTGAAGAGGCATCACGTCTGTACTTTGGTGAGCGCAACGTCAAGGGTATGTTTGCTGTGCTGGAGCCTCTACATGCCATGATGGAGAGGGGACCACAGACCCTCAAAGAGACCTCTTTTAATCAGGTGCGTGCCATTTCAGTTTGGGGTTGAATTTAAAGTTTAGGCTGGTTTAGTGCAATACCACAAACTAAAGTCTCTGCACGTCTCCCATCCAACATAGATTAAAGGCTGCACGACAGTCCTGTTGTGTGCAAAAAAGACGCCACAAACTGACCTGTGGTTTTATAATGTGTTGTTGTGACATTCAGTGGAAACTTGAGTTTCTGAGAGGTGGGAAAAAGTGCTTGATATGTGTTTTCACTTCGACATTAGTTTTTTTCTGTTGATAAGTGTCACTAAAGTTTCATTAACACACTGTAAATCAAAACAATGGGTGAATATTTGTAGAGGCATTGTAAAATTAGCTGTGTATTTAATTACCATAAATTAAGTGAGAGTTTGTACACACAACTGTTTACTTCACAGCCATAAGTCATCCCAGTGACCCTAGCTCCCTGCACAAGCAGCATCAGATGTTTCCATTCAGGCTGCCTTTGCAGATGTGTGCTATTAAAAACAAAATACTTACTGAATCCTAGATTAATCAAGTTGGAACAGCAATGTTTAATGCCTTGACATTCAGTTTTATAGTCCTGCTTTGGCAAACCATTTTCATTTAATTGAATGAGTCATTGCACAGGGACAGAGAGTGTTTGTCTCACTTCGTGCTACAGGCTTATGGCAGAGACTTGATGGAGGCTCAGGACTGGTGCAGGAAGTACATGCGGTCTGGAAACGTAAAAGACCTGACCCAGGCCTGGGACCTTTACTACCATGTATTCAGACGCATCTCCAAACAGCTGCCACAGGTGAGTGAAACTACGGAGTCACTGCACTGAAACTGTTGTACCAGTTTTTCTTATAAACCTCTTATAGGATTACTGTATGTATATTGATGTCAAACCTCTCTGGCTCCTGGGAAAATTAGAGCTGACATCCCACCAGTTCTGCATCCCTATACCCCATTACAATTATTAGATGTGATGAGATATATTTTGCATTTCATGTCCTGACTCATTCTTTGATCTCATGACAGGTGAATCAGTACATACTTGTCTCTTGTCTCGAGATTCAGCACTGGGAGATTAGGGAACAAAGGCCCTCTTTCATTCTTCCTTCTCTGGGTGAAGTCATTAAACAAGATGCCAAAAATAATGTTGAAAGATAGCAGAATGTGATGAGACAGGAGGGCAATGTAGGTCAAAGAAGAATGGCAGGAAATCATGAGGTAGCATTGCTTCCTTAAATATCATACACTCAGTAGCCAGTAGCAGACAGCTGTTTTCTTGATAATTAACTTACTTTTTCCTTCATCAAAGATTCCAGTACAGTGTACTTTGTAGCTAAATATTTTTGCAAGTGCCCACTTATATTCCAAACACATTAAAGGGATAGTTCAGATCTTTTTATGTGGGGTTGTATGAGGTACTTATCCATCAGTGTATTACACACACTTGATGGCAGTCCGCATGCTCGCAGTTTGGAGAAGCAGACAGTAGTACTGACACAGAAGCTAAGCAATGTACTGCAGGTGAGGGGGCAACAACAAAACATATTTTAGCCTCTTCAAAAGTCCCACCCAAAAAATTTACTATCGGTGTAAGTTTATGCTACATTTACAGTATTTTCACTGCTTTACCTTACTGTCAGACAGCCATCTCCAACATGGAAATTAAGCCATTTTATCACTCTCTCACGGGGAACGAGGAACTTAAGCTATTTATGGCTTCCACCTCAGAAAGTGCTGTCTGTGGCAAAGCTGTAGGGGTGAAATGTTCTCAATGTAGTGAATGCTTGAACTCATATTCATTTTTTTAGTAGTGGCTTCTGTGGTGGTACTCCTGCCTGGCTCTCCAAACTTGGGTTGTGCCAACTGACATCTAATGTAGGTAATACACTGACAGTAGATAAGTACCTGATATGACCCGACTTCAAAAGATCCAAAGTATCCTTTTTAATAATTTCATAACGCTGTGTGTACATAAAAATTCTGTTTATGAGTTTGCACAAGGAAGCACTGCATCCTTATACAGATACACATATACTGTTAGCCATTTTCCTTGGTGGCATACTCAAAGTCAGTCATGAGTAGATGGCTTAAACTTTATTTACATAAGGTCTTGTTGCTTCTGGAGTGAAGGTTAAATTGAACTGATAGATGTCTTTCCTTGCAGCGGTAATTGGGTTTGAGGAAAGACATTAAAAACATCTTTTTCAGGAGCTCTCACTTGACATAGCAAGTGGAGACAACAGTACTATTTGACATTGTGGCAGGGTCTTGCTGTCAGTGATGATCCCCGCTGTGACATTACAGTAAGCAGCATGAAATACACAGCGACATAATGACATGCTGCGAGCATTTTATTCCCCGTCTGGGCATTAACATAGAAATAAACCCTCTCCAGGATGCATCCAAACAGCAGATCCAGAGCAGGATGAGGCCATGATGAAGTAACCACACATTAGCATTCAGGATTTAACTGTAAAAGCATTTAAACGGTCTGCCAGAGTCTGAGTGGATGCAGTTTAAATCACTGATGGTTGACTGCAGACAAGCAGAGAATGCACTTATTGATGGACACATAGAAAGTGAAGTGTTCCAGAGTGATTTATTTAAGGTTGTGAAAATACAACTTTTTGCACATAAGACCTTCACTGGGATATGAGCCAATGTCCGCAACACTCTGCATATTGGTTTAGGCACTGTTGGCAGGAGCTGTTTTGCCACTTCAGACTAAAAACAAATTGTCTCTTCCTCATCAACTTTCCATGCAGCTGACCTCCCTGGAGCTACAATACGTGTCTCCAAAGCTGCTGATGTGCCGAGACCTGGAGCTGGCTGTACCAGGCACTTATGACCCCAACCAGCCTATCATCCGCATCCAGTCCATCGCCCCTTCCCTGCAGGTCATCACCTCCAAGCAGCGCCCACGCAAACTCACCATCATGGGTAAGATTAGGAGAAAATTGCACAGGCCTTGTGGCTCTGAACCCATTATATTAGGAAAATAGATTAAAGAATATCTGTAGTCAGCGCGGTATGCTTTCAGCGGGTGTGGGCCATTGCATTAGAGAAAATTCAATATTAATAGAATCTTTACCCAAACAACAAACAGCTCCAAGGCCACTATTTATTTTGAATTCATCAGTCATGGCAAAGTTCTGCGTGGGGATAATATAGTGGAAAAAACCCTTCTGTACAGACAGAAGCAAGATTAAACCTGTGATTAACTTAATACCACAATGAATCCAAATCAACACAAAAAACTGCCTTTTTAAACCTCAATGGCCAGAGAGCTTACATCGTGAGTTATGTTTGTTTTTTGTTTTTTTCCTATCCTTAGAGAAATGGTGCATTCAGGTCAGATCCACTTGTCATCTTCCCAACACTGTCCATCAGCATTATTTTGAATACAGAAATAAATAATCCTGACATTTTATCCCTTCCTCTGCTTTGTTATATGAAATACGCCACTGAGGTGCCTCTAAAATGGGACCGTGCTATAAAGTCACCTTGTGTTGAAGCCAAATCCTCATATTATCAATCACAAATGCTTCGCTTTACTTCACTCTTTACCACTGCACAGTGTGATACCTTGTTCCAGTGTATCCCATCAGTGTTACACAACATTCTCTGTAAAAGATGATAAATCAACTGACCTCTGAAGCAAGACTTCAGATTAAAACCTGTCAGCCACTACAGGCCTCTTAGATTTACCGCCAGCGCTCTGTCCCCCTGGTGACACACAATACATTGCGTACTGGGATTGTCATTAGGAGCAGACTGAAGATAAAACAGGGACTCTGTCTAACTCGTTCCACTGGAAGTATCAGTTAACTCCATTAAAGGTAGCATGGTAATTACAGTGTAGGTGAAATCATTGTAATGTGCTCTGTTGAGAACACTGAGGACAGTATAAGATAGTGGAACAATTAGATAAGTGACATCATCTGTACTTCAGATAAGTAAAATGCAGTTTCCTCACTGTCATCCTAAAAACTTCATTCTGCTTAAGAGAATTGAGTTGATGTTACAGTTCATCCATTGCTAAGATACATATTTTCCACTCCACTCCACGTGAGTTGCTCAAGAAAATGCCTTGACATCAGGACTTCATGAGAACTTCACAAGGTGCTTTCATTAAGCAGCTGTAAAACCATGTGTTTGTTCTTCTGCTGCGCAAATCAAATGTGGGGTTCTTTTTCAAAGAAGAGCTTTTTTTTTACCACAACTGCTCATATCTGTCACTTTGAAGAGGGGTTCCAAACCAAGGGTTACCATAAAGTGAGAGATTATTGGGACAGAGCCTACTGTAGGAGTGATGGGGTTCATATGAAATCATTTATTGCCTGCTCAAACTCACTAGACATTGCTTCAGGCGGAGGTAATGGAGATGCAGCTGCAGAGCAGCAGGTGAGCACCCTAGAGAAAACCCGCTAGTACTGCCAAATCTGACTATATAACGATTCTTATATAATGCCTTTTCCCTTTTTGAGCAGTATATCAATGTTGCGTTTTGTGGCGCCCTCTGCAGGCAGCAACGGCCACGAGTTCATGTTCCTGTTGAAGGGCCATGAGGACCTGAGGCAGGATGAGAGAGTCATGCAGCTGTTTGGTCTGGTCAACACACTGCTGGCCAATGACCCTGCGTCCTTGCGCAAGAACCTCAGGTAGACACACAGTCATGTTCACACACACACACACACACACGCACGCGCGCACACACACACACAAACAGACTGAGGTACAGTGCATTTCACACATCTCTTGAGCACACACATGCTCTCAGTTGTGGACTTGAAGTAAAAAAATGAAACCATGACAATGAATTGTATGTTTGTTTGTGTTTGTTTTGGCTGTGTGTTGCAATCATCAGCATTCAGCGCTACGCAGTGATCCCCCTGTCCACCAACTCAGGCCTGATTGGCTGGGTGCCCCACTGTGACACCCTGCATGCCCTCATCAGAGACTACAGAGAGAAGAAAAAGATTTTGCTCAACATTGAACATCGCATCATGCTCAGGGTAAGGAGCCACTAACAACCATTAGGTTTCTACTTCCTGCATTTTAATGACTGAAAACAGACTGAATATGTACTCACCTGCAACATTAACCCTCTGAGACCTGTTGGGGAGGTCCCAGCTGACATGACTGTGTTTAAGAGGCTGTGGCGCACTTGATTTTTAAGCTAGTGCAGAATTTTGGTGATGGAAAAACTGGCAGTCATTTTCACAGGAGTCCCTTGACCTCTTACCTCAAGTTATCTAGATTAGAATGGGTTGTTTGGCTACCAGTTTCCCCTTTACAGTCACACCCACTTGATGCTAGTCCCATGCAGTTTTGGGCAAAAACCATGTATTTTTTTTGCATGCAGCACAAACGTGTTATTTCTGCCTGTTCTAAAAAAATGTGTATTTGAATATTTTTTCACACAAGGGTCCCTAAACAGTCTTGTAATTTCATGAATTGGGTAGAGACTCTTGTGGGTTCAATGAGTCCAATTTAATTCATGTGTGATGATATTCGGCCCTGTAGAAGCCATTTCACTTTAGTGAGACTATTTTTAAAGCTTGACCTCAATGTATAAAATAACCCACTATGACCTTTAGATAATTGCAGCCACATGAAACTTTACAATCACAAACAAGAGATCCAAGGCATTCAGAGAATGAACAGAAGTCTTTGCTGTCCAGTGGCAAAAGAATGCAGTTCTTACAGAAATCTCCAAATGTCATAAGAAAAAGAAAGATCCCCTATCCTTTCTAAAAATGACAAAAAATGATCTATGCTGGATCTCAGAAGATAAGAGAAGAGATATTAGAAACAATTTCAGTACATTCCCTGGTTGGGTTTTAATTATATGTTATTAAATACACATTTATGTGTAAATGAGCTTATGTCGTTGCATATGATTCACTGTTTTGTGCCAACACTTGCCTCATTCATGAAATGTTTTTAAATGTGTTACTTTCATATAAAATGTCCATGCTAAATGAATACTAGATTCATCAAAGCAGAGGAAGTGTCTGTTTTCAATGATTACATTGATGAATTCCAATTACTCTTTAATGACAACACATTCACAGGTCCTCAATGAATAAATTTAACCAGATATCCCTGGCGCAGAATTACCCAATTAGGCATAGAGAACACACAAACACACACAATCTTCATCACTAAAATGTCACTGCGGGAAGTGAAAGTGCGTTGGATGACATATGAGAGCAGAGGCAGAGCAGGTTAAGACCCTGACATTCAATGTGCAAAAAGCTTACAGACTGGTTTGATTGAAATCTGTACAGTGAAAAAAGGCAGCATGGCTACAGGAGAAAGGCAGGGCTGAAGTTCAAGTGTCATCAGTCCAAAATAGGATGATGACAACATGTCCAATTGCGAAATGATTTACTGGTCGACAGGATGAAAAACAACCTTGTCCCAGACCTTGTCTGGCTGAGAATAGACAAGCAGGGAATGTCACTCTCAGCTCCTCCGACAGTAGTCCACTAATCCCAGAATAAGATAACAGGGATCAGTCATTAACTAAAAATGAAAAACAGTCCCTCGGTCTGGGCATATTTTCAGAGGAGCCTGGTGAATAGCTAGCTTCAACAGTAATAGTGAATACTGAACCCAAACAAGCTGAGGCGTTGCACATGCAGGGTCTAAATTCACTCAGATCTGAGAGCAAATTGATGCAGCTAAACCTTTAATGGTAATTTCTCTGTGCACACATTTTCTTCTCCTGACATGTTTTGAATAAGACTCTGTTTTTTTAATTTAGTAATAGTGTTGTTAATAGTGTGTTTCATTCAGCCTCCTTAAATAGAAAAATATTAAATTCACCAGTCTGTCAGCCAGGCCATTAATCAGTTGCAGATAAAATATAAGGAAGATAGGAGACTGAGACAATAATAGATAGTTGTCTTTTGTAGTGTCACTGTGTTTCTTTATAAACCCCAAAATAATCTTAACAGTTCATTTAATGTTAAGTATCACTCTGATTCTTTTCAGTTTGCAGGAAATCCTGCTGTCACATGCACAAACACAACCTGTGACATTGAGAAAACAAAACAATCGTTATTTAAGCATTTTCTTTAAAAACAATCAACTCCCTCACTGTAATGGGACCTACTTACACCCAGTTTCTATTTTTCCATAACCTGAAACGGGCTTCTATTTCTGTAACATCACCAACCTCTAGTTGTAGTTACATTAACATGTTGAATGTTTTTGGGCCAGTATACAGTAGCCATCAATTTCATTTAACTTAAGTAGATATCATCACAGACAGTAAACATTAATAGGGTGTCTGTCATAAAATGTCTTAAGTTCAATTTTAGAAAATATTAGGCCTTAAAAGTTCTAAGATTTATCCAGTTTATCCAACTTAAGCTATCTCCATCAATTATTTTTGTTAAATAAGTCACGCTCTCCTGCGTGAAAGTCCATATTTTTTAAATAGAAATCTTAAAACCTACTCCTGACCTCATACTGTCTTTTTATCTCATACTTGCACTTTTGTACTGGCAAAATGCAGATTAATCTAACTCACTCTAATATCCATATTCCTAAATAAATGTCTGTCATTTCACCGAACCACATACTGTATTACTGTGTTGCTAAAAAAAATACTGGCCTGATTTAAATGACACTAGGTTGGGGCACTCACCACCCTTTTGACTTTCTACAGTGCATGGAGTGTCCATAATATTCCCTAGCAACCGTTAGCGTTGGGTATCCAAATGACCAATGGAAAGGCGTTTTATTACATCATCTATTCAACATGTATCCTCATTGGGTGTCAGAAGTGTCCATCATAGTGCGTAGAAAGTCAAAACCGTCAAAAGTGGAGATACGTGTTTTTCATCGGACAGCATAAGATCTTGCAAATATAAATATGTGCATAGCATTCATCTAAATATATTCTTACTCACATCCAAATGTGAATTGTCTTCAGTAAACTTCCACCAGAGATATTTAGGAAAAGTGTTTGGACTTACGACGGCAATATAGAAGCACATAGTAAATGCACAGTTGAGATGATGGGGTGTCACCTTGGCACAACCATATTTTGACGTCATTCTAACAGTTTTGGAAATATATCCCGATAATATAGTGGATGAGCTTCCAGATTTGCATGTCATTCAAGCCTGGACCATTATTGCGGAGGTCTCAGAGTGCCCTTCTAGCTAAATAATACGTTAACCTTCCAAAGCTTGTCATACCGTAGCTGTCATATATAGTTAATTAAATAGATTCAGGAGAAACTCAGCAGCCACTAAAATCAATGCAGGTGTGCTAATATGTTGAACATGAAAATATTGTGAGCGCCTTTTGGAAAATGCCTTTGCCCTGTGTGTGTTGCACAACAGTGCTCCCAGTAACTGAAATGAAATAAGACTCCGCTGTAAAGTACGTGATGATATTTGGACTACAACCAGTCGTCATGGTTTTGGAGACCCAGGTTGAAAATAAGAATCATTGTCCTTTTACTACGTTTCATGAGCTCTTTACTTTTAAGAGTCTTGTCTTAACATGTGCTGTGATAGTTTTGTTCACATTTAAAATGTGTGTGTGTGTGTAATTGGCTTTGTGTTTTTTAGATGGCCCCAGACTATGACCACTTGACGCTGATGGAGAAGGTGGAGGTGTTCGAGCACGCCGTCAACAACACGGCCGGAGACGACCTGGCCAAGCTCTTGTGGCTGAAGAGCCCCAGTTCTGAGGTGAGATGCCCTGCTTCTTAACTCTGTTCAGCACAGGGGAGGATAATTGCGTGTACTTGATCTTTACAGCATCCACCCTCACATTTCAGTGGCTGTAGGGTTAAATGTCAAGATTTGTAAATTAACATATTTCATTTTTGGAAAGATTTTCATTTAGTGCGGTGGAAACATAGAAAAGGAAAACTTCTTTAGAAATGTATCCAGTCTAACTTTTCTAATTATTGAGGTAAATACAGTTGTATTTAAATAGAACTGTTGTTTTCCCTGAAGAATCAGTTTTCTGGGTTGTGTGTCCTACTTTCAAACCACTGACTTAGCGGGATTTAACAAACAGACCTTCAAATTGAATCCATTTTTAGGAACATTAGTAGCTCGTGTTCCTGATGTTCTGCATGTTCAAGTCTGTGAAAAGATGTATCAAGCAGCCTGCCAGAGATCTCTGTGCCATTTTCTACACTGCTCTGCTTTAATGTTATGAACCAGAGGAGCTCTCTTAATGCAGATGTTATCTCTCCTCCAGGTATGGTTCGACAGGAGAACCAATTACACCCGCTCCCTGGCTGTGATGTCCATGGTGGGCTACATCCTCGGACTGGGTGACAGGTGAGTTTCTCTGCCAGTTGAAGTGTCGCATCATTTCAGACGGATTGTTGTAATAATAATAAAGAGTAATCATAAGACGTAATTGAGGAGATAATGTCAATGTCTATTCTCCAGGCATCCTTCCAACTTGATGTTAGACCGGTTAAGTGGCAAGATACTCCACATTGACTTTGGAGACTGTTTTGAGGTGTGAGGAGATTCTCTTTATATATATTATCCACTGATTTTTTTGAAATTTCATTTATCTGAGACTGACCCTCATTACAACCCTCAACAGGTTGCCATGACCAGAGAGAAGTTCCCCGAAAAGATCCCATTCAGACTGACAAGGATGCTGACCAACGCTATGGAGGTATACAACTCTGTAGTATCTTTTGCAGTGATAATTGTGAGCAGGGTGTCTGCAGGCCCTTAAAAAGTCTTAAATTAACAAACTTAATTGCCACAAACATTTTTACTAATTTCATTTATCCATATTTTAATTTATTTTGTCCAAATGAGTCAATCTCTTCTGTGTGATAGTCCACGTCTGAGATTATAGATCGTTAAACCTACTTCTGAACCTTGTACTGTCTTTTTACTTTATACTTGCACTTACCTGTTGCAAAATGTAGATTAACCTAACTCACTCTAGTAACCTTATTCCTACATAAACCTAGGTCTGCACAGGACTACATATGTACTACGTACGTTTAGATGTACCTTTATAATCACTTGCAGTGCTTGGATAAGAAAAGATTTTTTATCTAAAAATCACCATTTACCGATGTTACATTTGGTTAAAAATTATTTTTGAAAAGGTCTTACAAAGCATTAAATTTAGTGTCTAATACATGTAGACACCCTGGTGAGTATTACTGCATGCAGGCTAGATTAAAGTAGCCATAAGAGTGTTTGCTTCAACTTGGAAAGTCAAAAACGCTGAATAAGAAAAATCTTTTCTTAATTAGTTCTTACTTTTTTTCCATCTTACTTTTATTTATTTTTTTTATCAAAAGTCATGACTCGCATTGTGCCCTGTATTTAATGAGGAAAGAAGAAAAGCAATTACAAATGAAAGCATTAAGAAAAAAAATCTATATTGTAAGAGGGTCAAGTTGGCTCATCTCTTGAAAAACTGGATTTTGAAAAATCAGAAATCTGTTTAAAAAGCTTTTTAAGGCACAATTCAGGGATCTAATGAAAGGGCTGCACCTCCCTCAAACCCTTAAAACACCATGCTGTGTCCTCTTCTTATTGTGCTCTTTTTAATGTACAAACACAAGACAAAAACTTCTCATGTTGTAAAAGGCTTGTTTCTATCAGTAACGTCTATGTCTGGTTGTGTGGCAGGTGACAGGCTTGGACGGTAACTACCGGATCACCTGCCACACAGTGATGGAGGTGCTGAGGGAGCACCGGGACAGCGTCATGGCTGTGCTGGAGGCTTTCGTCTATGATCCGCTGCTCAACTGGAGGCTCATGGACAGTAAGAGATCATCAGCTGTACCCTTTCAGTACATTTAGCAACGTCAGCTTCAGTACAGGAACACAGACAACAGAAAGTTTACATGTGGCAGACTGAAATAACCATGACAGTATCACATGCGAATAATAACTAGAAGGGCACTCGGAGACCTCCTCCAGGGCCAATAGTCAAGTCTTGTATGACACGCAAATCTGCAAGTGCGACCGCTTTAAAATATGGTTTTCCTTAGCTGAAGCCTCATCATGTCAGTTGTGCTAATTTGGAATTTTTTTTTTACATATTTAATATACATTTGTGAAAACCAGAAAACACTTTATTATCATCTACAAGGCATTTGTTCTGCCAAGGCTAAATCCCCTATCTTGCTATATTAACGAAAGCAAAAAGTAATTTGTGTATCTGCCTTGTGATTGGATCCACTCCAAAACTGAGTGGCCTCTTCCTTGGCCCATTCTACACCCTTCCACTAAGTTTCATGAAAATTGGACCAGTAGCTTTTTAACAATCCTGCTGACAAACTAACTAAGCCAACAGAAAACATAACCTCCTTGGCAGAGGTAATGAACTGTATGTGAACAAGTTCAGCCCAAAAAATAAAATTTGCGAAGGTCGGCACAAATTACTCCATTTACAGTAGAAATTCCTTCTTTGAAGTGGTTGAGTGTTTGGTGCGTTCACTTTAATCAAACAGGGCGAAAAAACCTAAGTGCAGTTCCAGTAGTAAAATGGAAGTCTATTTGGCTCGTATGTGAAAGAGAAATTGACCGAACGCTTAAAGAAGTGCTGTAGACATCTAAAGGTCGTTGAATTCAAGTGAACAAAGCGAATGAATATCTCTGGCACTCTTTCAACTAATACTGTCAAGGTTGCCTTAAGCAAGGCTTTTTATCTGCAACAGTAAAATACATCGGTTTTATTATAAAAATAATAAATGATAAAAATCATTGTGAAAATTGAATTTGTTTGGTTTGGAATTATCTGTTTTTTTAGTTGTTTTTTCTTTTTCTCAACTATTAATGGTGTCTGACACACCCACAGGGACTGCAGGGTGCACTTCTTATAAGCCTGTTTGTTTTTCTCTCAATTTCTTTCTACACTTTACATTACAGTAACTATTTTCTAAGTTATTAACACCACAGTAGGACCTTATTTAATGTAGTGTGGTACGATGAGCATTTTTCTCTTGCAGCAGGCAACATAGCTTTTAGGTGCATAGCTATATATCTGGACGACATTTAACATAATTCAAAGAGATCTGTTTTTCTTTTGTACCATCAGTGAATATCAGAGCCTTAACTACTTGTAAAGGTTAGAAAAGATCTTCATCGTTCTGTATTTAAAAAGGTCAGAACAATGCTGCTGCTTCCTGTGTGATGGATAAAAAATAGAATATAGTAATTGTCATGTCAAGGGGAAAAAAGACTCACATACCTTACGTGTTTCACCCACAGCAAACACCAAAGGCAACAAGCGTTCTCGCACCAGGACCGACTCGTATACCGCTGGACAGTCAGTGGGTGAGTCTACAGTACACACTGTATGCCCTGTTTCCTACTTGATAATATAAAAACATGTTTAAACCTGCAACTGTGTGTGTGTGTGTGTGTGTGTGTGTGTGTCTGTGTGTGTGTGTGTGTGTGTGTCATCTGCAGAGGCTCTTGAGGGAATAGACCTCGGAGAGACCACACACAAGAAACCAGGGACCACAGTGCCTGAATCCATCCACTCCTTCAGTGAGTTTCCCAGCGTATTCTGTCATCAATGGGTTATTTGATGAAGCCTTTCATTTTTCCTTGTTCGTTATACAAGCTGAGAGGCTTGGGGTATAGAGAGAACACTTGAATATGCTTTTTCTCAAGTTGCTAGTAGTTGTTGAACTTGACGCCGGCATGTTTGTGTTTATTTTTTTCCAGTTGGAGACGGCTTGGTACAACCTGAGGCACTCAACAAGAAAGCAATTCAGATTATAAACAGAGTGAGAGACAAACTTACAGGTGAGTTCTGCAGCACTCAACTTGCTCCACCAACCTAGATATACAGTAGTCGTACAAAAGCTTCTATTTGTCTCGAGTTTTGACCTATTTTACTTCATTTTTCCCACAAGGCTCTGCAGGAAATACAGCTATCTTTTTGGCACTGTTAAACTTCCTCTGGTTAGATTTAAATATAAAATGTAAATCTTAAATTACCATGTAAACAAAGCTGAAATTCCTTACTGTGAAGTTGGTCAAGTTACTTAAAAGGTGCAATGCTTTAGTGCAGGAATGCTTTATATAATCATGTCAAATGGTTAGATGTTTGATTCATACTTTACCTTCCTCAGTCACATTATTCCAGTGTGGGTTAACCCACCATCTATTGGTATTGCTGATTGAAGTCCTTGAAAGACTGTCCAGACTGGACTTGTTCAGTCCAGACTGAATGTTCTGGTAAAGGTCTTGTGTTTGATGAGTTTTGTTCCCCGCAGGTCGGGACTTTTCTCATGATGAGACACTGGATGTGCCGACACAAGTGGAGCTCCTCATCAAGCAAGCCACATCACATGAAAACCTGTGCCAGTGCTACATTGGGTGGTCAGTACTGCTGCTTGAGCTTGCCTGTTGTTCTTATCACACAGCTGTTTGTGTTTGGTATGTTTTGCTTTGTAATTTAATTAGAGCAGTGACATAGGCCAGCAGAAATCCACCCAAAAACTGCTGACCTAAATGATGGTGATGTAAGTTGATTGCATACGTGATAACACATGATAACCCTTTCCACAGATTCCTGTAGCTTTCCCACATTTTTTAATTTATCACATAACTGGTGTGCAGAGGACGAAGCAGAGTAAAATAGGCATCCAGGCTTTGCTTGAATGAGCAAAACCCAAGTCCCAAAAATTTGGTACACTGTCTAAGCCGTAAATTAAAACAGAATGCAGTGATTTGCAATTCCTTTATAACCTACATTCAATTGGAGTCAGTACAAAGACAAGATATTTAATATGTAAACTGCTAAACTTGATTTTATTTTTGTAAATATACACCCACTCTGAATTTGTTGCCTGCGACACGTTCACTAATTGTTGAAGTTTTGAAAGTGAAATTTTTTCTCAAGATTCACAAGCTGAACCCCCAAAATCTTCAAGATTTAAATACTTTCTGTGTGAGCAAATTGGCCAAAGTCACATTCGAACACTGTGAGGGATTAGTTTCTCCATACAGGAAGCATCATGAAGCTGGCACTCTAAACAAAGGCTTCTCCAAGTATTAAATACATTTCAGTTAGTGTGTTCAGTACTTTTTTCCTGTGTCATTCCACTTTATTTCACATAATAAGTTTTATGGATTGAAATGTTACAATTTCTTTATCTGTGAAGTCCAGACATATTGCCAGTGTCTGATCAAAATTGTATTTGTATACCTGCACTGGAAATATGTTTAATAAAAATATTTTGACATACTACTTAATGTCCCCACTGTATGTCAAAATGATTTGTCAGTCATTGCATTCTGTTCTTCTTCACATTTTGCACAGTGTCCCTGGTTTTTGGTATCTGAGTAGGTAATAATGACTGAATAGTAATTTCCCTGGCCCTGGCAGTCTACTTGTTGAAGTGTCCTTGGGCAAGATACTCAACCCCAAATTGCTCCTGATGGCTGTGCCGGTGGGTGTGGGTGTGCGTGTGAATGTCTACCTGATGAGCAGACAGTATAGTCTCAGCCACCAGGGTATTACTGTTTGTGTGTGATTGGGTGAATGCTGCCTGTGTTGTAAAGCGCTTTGAGTGGTCGCTAAGATTAGAAAAACACTATATAAATGCAGTCCATTTACCATAATTTCTTTTTCTGTCTTCAGGTGTCCATTTTGGTGAAGAATCCTATCTGGCAGACAAGGTTACACTTGACATTTTTCTCACTGGCGAAACAAGAAGAAGCACTCGACTCAAATAGGTATCCACTGAAAATTTACTTAAGCCACAGTGCAGAGCCTTTGAGAAAGATTTTTTGTTGTTGTAGAGTTATTGGATTTTCCAGTGGCACGTTTTATGAGACAGGATCTTAAGAGCTCAGTTTTTACCTGATGATCATAATTTTACTCAAACTGTTGTCATTGCTTCAAATGACTCCTCGCTTTAAACACCATAATCAGTTGCTAAAAGCTTTCTACCGTGGCCATATTGTAATAAGTTATGACATTTCTTACTTCTCACACTGTATTAAAAACCCACCAGTCTGTTGTATCATTGTGTATTAATGTGACAAAATTCAATAACATGGTATGCCTTTAATTATCTTCTTTAAAGTTTCCTGAGTACAATTTGATTTGAGATGATGAGATAATGTACTGTATGGGCATTTGTGTGCCATTAAACCCTGTACAGATACCACTGTGACTGCACTGGTTTTGTTTTTTTGTACAGTACATGTTTGTGTGGCTGAGCTTGTCACACTTACTGCTGTTAAGAATAGAAAGACATTCATAAATCTCTCTTTTTGCCTGTCTTTTCTATTAAGAAACAAGGGGTGTAACGTTTTCCTTGTTTTTCTCCTAGTGCCCACAGAGGGCACTCTGACTCCTAATAAGATCCTTCTCCATCTTTTCAGGAAATACTTTGAGAGAGAATGCACTCGTCAGGCCAGAGATGATGAGATCAGACTAGATTCTCATCTTAAACCCGAACAAAAAACAGAAATACTTTAGATTTTAAACGTTTTCTCTCAAATTGAAATAAGATGGCTGCTTCAAACAGCAGCTGCTCTATATTTACCCTCATCTAAGGACCAGAGGGAGATGCCGTTGTTCACAGTGAATGCAGTCCTTGACAGAAATAAAACCGAATCAGATGTAGCAAATTGCAGAGGCAGCAGTGGAGACAACTATTAATTTGGTTTCCTGTGCTGTTATCTGGTCAGTGCAAGGTAGCTTCTGTTTTACTTGGGCTCATTGCTATTCTCCCTCTCATTTCTCCATTTATTTCTCCCCTGCATTCTCCTCTGAAGGTTAATTACTTATAGATAGTTAAGGATTACGGATCAACAAAAAGCAGCCCATTGATCTCTTCCCTGCCTTGCCCACCTCTGCAATGTCACACTCTTTACACATCGGGACAGAGGCCTGGTGATTATCTGTTCATATCGATCGATTCCTCCTCTGTTTTCCCTCGCTTTCTTCCCCCCCTCCCTTGCTTCCTTTACCTGCACTCTGTCACTTTCTTCCCTCCTGCCGCCAAAAGCTCATTATTGAAAATGTGACTTTTCATAGTCTGCGCCACCATTTCTGTTGTTCTTTCTCACTCGTCTAATTTGTTTGTATTTTTTCAGCCTCTCAAGTCTGTTGAGGGGCAGGCGAGTCAATAGCTCAAGTTAAATAGGCTGCATTGATTGGGAGAGGGATTTAGCTGTTTACCAACTGTGGAAATGGGCTTGGGCCACAGAAAAACAGCACGGGTGTCTGCATGGAGCAAGTCAATGGTGACAAATGATACTCATTGGGAGACAATGCCCCTAAATGAGGGAAGGTGAAGGGCTTGGCAGCGGAGGCTGGGGATGCAGCAGGCCATGCTCCATCAACCTTTAAGGTTGTCACATGAGGCCGTCCACAGCTGGCACCTTGAGCCAAGACATGAGGAATGATGGTATACAGCAACACATTTACAAGTATGCGCTCCCCCGCTGGGACCCAAGCCTGTTTCTCGTTCCTGTTAGTGTTTCTTCCATCCTTGAGCTTGTATTCCTCCACAAGAGCTCCCCTCTGGATGTTATTCCACTTTCTTGCACTGTCTTTGGCTTCTCATGACCTCCAGAGATTCCATAAGTGCTCTATCCAGCACTCGTCACGTGTGGAGTGAAGTCACACAAACCAAAGAACATGATGTCATGATGGAGAAGACTTTTTTTTTCTGGTAAAAGCATCTAATTATCTGTACTTTCTCGTTAATAGTCAAAAATGCTTCACATATAAGAACATTGTAAATCCATCAGTTAGCTCTACATACACTGTTCCACAAGAGAGGGGTCGCCTACACGTTTCTCAACCACTAAGGTCGAAAGGAGGCCAGCAATCTTAGCTGAATCTGTTGATCTGATTGATTAGCTTCTTTTTTAATAAGTTCTCACTGCTTGTTGATATTTACTTTCTTTACTCCCAAGAGACAGAATAGTGGTAGGTGGTGATGGAAGCTGTTAGTGGCTACCTTCCCTCTCAGGCGCTACAAGAAAAAAAGGTAAGTGCTAAATCAAGGGAATGTATTTGTACCATCCACTCCTGTCTCAGCACTGGCTGCAGCTATGCTTTACTCTTTGTGAAGCAGTTGCTTCACAAGCAGGACAGGATTATATGAAACTGGAAACTGGACACAAACATGATTAAGGACTCTGATTTGCTCATTCCTCTTAAAGGGATAGTTTGGATCTTTTGTAGTTGAGTTGTATGAGGTACTTATCTATAGTCAGTGTATTTCGTAGAGTAGATGGCTGTCCACACACTCCCTGTTTCGAAAAGCAGGCAGAAGTGGCAAGTAATGCACTGCTGTGAATGGGGGCGGCACCAAAATGTAACATTTTAGGTGTACGCCATAGTAAGAGTATTTTTACTGCTTCACCTTGCAGCAGACAGCCCTGTCTTACATGGAAATCATTAACAGCTTCAGTTTCCCATTTATACTCTTGTGAAAGCCACCAGACTCTGTCATTTAAGCTTGCAGAACACAGGAGCTGCTGGTCTACCACTGCCTCCATCAGTTAGTTAGTTTGTGTTATTGTGTGACTTTCTTGACTCCCAACTAACCTTTTTAAATGCCAAAGTCACACAATAACACAAACTAACTAACTGATTGAGGCAGCAGAGTAGACGAGCAGCTACTGTGTTCAGCAACGGTAAATTACTGTTTTTCTGGCTTTCAAGAAAGCAGCTTGAGTTGCAAATTGCTGTCTGACAGCAAGGTAAAGCAGTGGAAATATTCTAAATGTAGCGTACTTTTTAGGTGGCTAAAATATGTTTTGTTTGCTGACCTGCACAGCAGTATATTAGTTAGCTTCCCTGTCAGAAGCCTGCTTCTCCAAACTGGCACTGTACCGACTGACATCTAATGTTGGTGAAACACTGACTATGGATAAGTACCTCATACAACCCCGCTTCAAAAGATCTGAACTATCCCTTTAAGACAGTTTGCAACAGAGCCAAAGGGAAACCAGAACGCCCAATCAAAATCATATTGACATTTGTAATCAGGTGAACTATTAAAAGTCTGGGTAGAAACAATTGTTCCACAGTATGTTTTGCAATTCATTCTATATGTCCAGTGAAAGAGGTTCATTGTTATAAAAGCCATTTAAAAACCACTGTTTACTTAACTGAAGTTTTAGCTGTCTCTACTGAACACCATGATACCTAGGACAGTATGAGCAAAAGCAGCTCGCAAGAATAAGAGGGAGCCAAGTGGCAGGACAGGGAGGATTGAAGCAGAAATTACAGCTAAAAAAAAAAAAAAAAAAAGAATTGCAGGAGTGCATGAATGAATATCAGGAATTTGCAAGAAATCAAGTTGCAAGTGTGAATGTTCCAGTTCTGGCAGAATCGTCATGGCGCCTGTAGCTTCTTTGTGTGCTAACTAACAGTTCAAATTCTAATAGCAAGTCTTGTGATAGATATTAATTTATGTTAGAATATGGAAAGTATGCCCCAGGAATGCATTTCACTTTTTAAAAAAAAGACCAATGAATGAAACCCTCAATAAGGCACTGTACTGAGTCACAGAAGTTGGCAGAACAGAGGGTAGCCTAAAGGCAACACAGTAACTTTGACTGTGTTGGTTTATGATGCAAATATATGTGTCAACGTCAACAGATCATTGTGACTGTCACTGCACAATCATTCAGAAGCTTCTCTGTTATACTGTAAATGCTGTGACTAGGAATCCTCCCTTCCTGTAATACAACTTGATAGCATCTTTGCATTAGCCTCTCCCTGCCTGGTAGCCTAACACCCACATCTTAAAATCTCCATGCCACCAGTTTGTAACACAGACTTTCCATTAAAACCTTTTTAGTCTCCAAGTCTGAGCTCCAACAACTCAAGTGATGTCACTCTAGTTATTTTGACAAAGCTCTTCCAGAGTCACAGGAGACATTGCGGAAGTGTTTTCACTGGCTGAGAAGCACTCTTAACAAGTAAACTGATCTTGTAAAATCAGTGTTCCCCCCTCCCCTCGGTCTTCAGAGTTTCCTTTGAAGGCAGAGGGTGTGTGGAAATTCAAAGTAACAGAAGGATTAAAGTGTGAACAGCGAAGGTGGCTGCTGAACAAGGGATACAATTCATTTTCTCTTAAGGGATCACAGGCTATGTGGACGGAGCTCTTTGCGTCAGGCTGACGGCTGAACACTCGAAGTACATGTGCAAAAGGCTTGAAGATTGTACTGTCTTCTTCCTGACTTGTTGGCCAAGAAATTCTCTAAAACAAAATAGTCCTCTGCCTCCCTATGGTTATGAGAACACTTTGTCTCTCAAACTCCACAACCCCCCTCCAACTCTTTCTGTCTGGCATGGCTAACAGCTGTGAAGAGAAAGACCAAGACAGAGGCAATATTGACGGCCAACCCGAGGAGTTCAATAGCAGGCATTGGAGTTGTTTAAAGCAGGAGGCTGTGGCCAGGTCTGGGGCTGTCTTTGTGCACTGTGGTGTGAAGCCGGTATCGATGAACTTGACAGCAGTTTAGCCCGCCTGAGATCTGCTGCTCTCTAAGGACGCTTCAAACACGTTCTCCCGCCAGCTTTAGCCTTGTTTACCCTGCCTGTTTATGTTCCCTGGAGCTGGGACGTCAGAAATGTACTTGGAAAGATTTTCTGTTTATGTAATCATCTGTTTGTCAAGTGCCAGCAGCAAATAGTGGAGCAATTTAAGTAACATGGTGACTTAAAACTCCAGCACAAAATACAGAATCAGGAGCTTGTTGAGATGGGGAATAAAAAAAGTTCTCTGCATGAAAAAATAAATGTGTTGTCATCACTGTAACTGCGCTGTAAACACAAATAGAAGCAGGCCAAGGAGGGACAAGATGAAAAACTGGGCCAGTTCGAACTTAAAGCTGCACTGGGCATCTTGTATGTTGGCAGCTCCGCATGGCGCCATGAATTAGTTAAGTGTTTGAAAAATTACAACTTTAATAACCAGTGACATCAGCAAATGGGGCACAGTATGTTTGTTTGTGTTGACCGCCTCTGCCGATCTGTGATGTTTTCTACTACAAGACAAAGAGGGATGAGTAAAGAAGTAGATCTGGTGAGTACTGCTCTCTGTTTTAGTTCACTATTTCCTACTGAACAGACCTGACAACATGTTTTCATTGGACTAGACAGGAGCTGAATCTCTGATATTTTTAGACACTTGTCTCTACT